CCTCTTTCACTATTGTTGTGGTATATGTTGATATCTTACTTGCAGGAAATGATCTTAATACTATCACAGATCTCAAGTCCTTCCTTGCTGACCGTTTTAAGCTCAAAGATTTGGAGACCCTAAAATATTTTCTTTGTCTTGAGATAGCTCGTTCTCCTTCTGGGATTTTTCTCTCCCAACGAAAATAAACCTTGGATATCCTAGCTGACTCAACCACATTGGGCTCTCAACCTACTACTTTTCCCATGGAACAACATCTAAAGCTCGCTCGAGAAAATGGAGCCTTACTCTTCAATCCTGGCTCTTACAGAAATTTGGTGGGACGTCTCATTTATTTAACTATCACTCGCCCTGACATATCATTCTCAGTGAACATATTGAGCCAATTCATGCAGACTCCTAGGGAACCACATGATCAAGCTGCTCTACATGTGCTTCGCTGTCTGAAAAGTTCTCCTGGTCATAGTTTATTTTTTTCATCCACCTGTAATTTTCAAATTTCCGCTTACTCTGATTCTGATTAGGCTAGTTGTCCTACTACTCGCCACTCTACTATTGGTTTCTTCATCACTCTTGGGACAAGTCCCATTTCATGGCACACAAAGAAACAAACAGTTATCTCTCGATCTTCTGCTGAAGCCGAATATCGTGCTATGACTTCTACTACATGTAAACTTGTTTGGCTTAAGACCTTACTTTTTGATCTTAACGTCCTACATCCTAAGAGCATCATCATTTATTGTGACAATCAAGCTGCAATTCACATTACCCGTAATCCAGTCTTCCATGAACATATCGAAATAGACTGTCATTTTGTTCGTGAAAAGTTCGCTCGAGCCTTATTATCCCGACGCATATCTCCACGAAGGAACAAGTGGCTGACATTTTCACTAAAGCACTTGGAAAAGATCAATTTCATCATTTTGCTTGCAAGTTGGGCATTACGGACCTCCATGCTCCAACTTGAGGGGGAGTATTATGAGTAATCTTAGGCATAAAATAAGACAACAGCTCAATCTTGATACTCTTTCCATTGTAATTACAAGTAACCTTATTTAGCTTACATTATTTTTACATATATGGATGTATCCATATTTATAGAATTAATGAAAGGGCTGTATTTTCATTCATTCCTTTTATCAGATATCATCAAATTCTCAATCCTGAATTTTCGTCTTTACTAACATGCAAACAAACATCTATAATTTTCACTAACTATCGTGGTTAATATTAAATAAATCATAGATTGAATGCTAAAATAAGATACACTTTGTTTCAAAAAGTCCACACCCCTTATTTAAGTAAAAACTCGAATGAAAGGCAAATCCCAAAAATTCGTAAATTTACAAGATTCGGAAAAATTTATATCTGTACTTGACAAACTCATTTAATTTATTTGAAGAAATAATAACATAAATGGTTACTGAACTTTGCAAAAAGTTTTCACGAGATTACTGAACTTTAAAAATTATCTAAATCATCACTGAATTTTGCAAAAGGTTTTCACGGGGTCACTAAACTTTGCAAAAAAATTTCACGAAATCATTGAACTTTAAAAATCGTCCAATTCATCACTAAACTTTGTAAAATGTTTCTGCAAAGTTTAGTGATCCCATGAAAATCTTTTGTAAATTTTAGTGATAATTGAGTTATTTTCAAATTTCAGTGATCCCGTGAAAATCTTTTGTAAAGTTTAGTGATAAATTGAGTTATTTTTAAATTTCAGTGATCCCGTATAAATCTTTTGCAAAGTTCAATACTAACTTGAGTGATTTTTAAAGTTCAGTAACTTGTAAAATTTTTTTACAAAATTCAATGACCATTTAGGTCATTGACCCTTTATTTGAAGGGTGGTTATACAGACACATCAATCTTACTTGTCGCACCTTTATTGCTCTCAATGTCCCCAACTTTGCTTATTTTAGCATTTATATCCTTTACTTTTTTTAATCAAAATTTTTATTTTCAAACTTCATTAGTTAGCATATATCTTTCTGAAAATATTCCGTTTACATGCTTTAAAATGAGGAAAAACTATATTTTGTTGCACTGTATATTTATTTAATTTTAAGATATGATAAGCAAATAGTCTTTTTACACTCTCTCAACTGACCTTTTGGACAAATACCGTAAATAGAAACAAGATGTGTTAATTAATTGAAGGTGGGAGATAAAAATTTAACAAAACAATTAAGCACATAACTGCTTAGCAGACCTTGAAAATCTTATATGCAATTAAAATGTGGTACAAGTTAAAATTGTGGCATGAATATAATTAGCCATACAAAATTTGGCAGTTTTACAAAAATAATCAGTAAAGAAAAGGGGGAAAAAAATCTAAGGTGCCATTATTAATTTACCGAGCTCTCACAATTCCTTTTCACTTTTACAAAAGTGTTATACTCGTGTATTATGCTAAATAGACCTCTTCTTTTAATGTGGACATTTATAAATTACAAAGTGAGTAAAAAAGCCAATTAATAACATTTCTTGCTGGGCTAAAGTTTAACTAGCTTAGGAGGGCCAGATTTCTAACTTGAAATCAGATTGAGCCCAAACTCAGCAACTCCCCTGTTGCCATAATGCCAACTTCCCTATTCTCCAATCAATTCATGTCCCTATTAATGGGACATTTTCCATTTGTATTTTTTTTTTTTTAATGAGGTGTCCCAACTTGCGCCAAACTATATCCTCGTCCCTGAACCTCCGGCCCCTCAGCTGCTCAGGGAGGTAAATCGCAGATTGTGCCCTTGTTGGTTCCCAGGTTCCCACATGACTTTTACTCCTTCCCCAAAGGGAGCCTCCTCCATGGTTATTACATCACCAAACTGCTCCAACCCTTCCTCTGCTATTACAACACTCAGCTGCTCCAACCAGGAATCGAACTCCCCACGCTTGGTTCCAGAGCCCCCCAATGTGATTGTTCCGCCAACTTGGATGTGCCCTGGGGGGCGACATTTTCCGTTTGTAGCTTCGTGAAACATCGGTCAAGGACTTAAAGATTACGCCTTAATCCCTGCTATCAAGAGCAAATATGTTCGCTAAAATCCTACACCGCAAGTGCACGGGTCGCGTTCAAGTAATAAAGTGGACCTGTTGAGTCCAAGTATCGTCCCACAAAGATTGTATTAGTTTAAATTTAAATTATCTTCGTCTTAACCGAAACAATAGAAATTCTTGATATTTTCGCTAACTATATTATGATTTAATAACCTACTTATAAATATAAAGTCTAAATTAACTAAATTAAACGTGTGATTTTAACTAAGCCCCATTTGATCCCCATTAAATTCAATTACATTACATTCCGTTTTTCTCTCTCCTATTTTTAACCACACAATCTTCCATAAAATAATATTACACGTAAATCGAAAATTTTTCCTTCTTTTTCAACCACTCATTTTTCTAAAAAAATACTATTTCCCTCATTTTCATTTTCAGGTAATGAGGGTCAAACAGGGGCTAAATGCAAATTTTATAAAAATATATTAACGAAATGCGTACTAGAATCCCGAATCCCCTTATATCAATCTCCTTTAATCTGAATTTTATAAAATTGGCAACACGATTCAATTATAAAGACCAATATTCCTAATTTGTTTAACAATCTCTCTCGAATAGAATTAAACATATTTTCACATGCGATCCGACTATATTTCTACGATGAATACGAACATATAAAAATGTATTAAAGATTTATGAATACTTAAATATCACGTAAAACATAGCAGTATATTTCTATTCCCTATCGGACTTTACGACAATTAACATAATGTCTAACTTGAATAAAACAAGCCATAAATCTCATACAACTATTGTGCATATAATTGTAGAGAAAATAAAATCCATGCCGATCATTTAATAATTAAAAACATGTTTTAACGTCAAATAAATAAAATCAAGATTAAGGGTTTATAATATAAGGTTTATCACAAATCCTAGCACAAAATAATTTAGCCGAGCATAATGTTAAAATTAAACAAAGAGAAGTGGAAAAATATCACCAAAAATCGACAAAACTTGAATGATTCTTCAAATTTATTTTGCAGCCGCCGACTTTGTGTAATTTCTCCAATTTTTCCCGTTTCCAATCTGCGTGTCTCTCTGCATTTATAAGGCAGCACCCACTTTCTTTATTTCCAACAGCCAACAGTTATGCTATTTTCAGATTTATGTTTCCGTGCATGTGTCTGTCTATGTCTTTTTACTCCAACAAAACAGCCACCAATTGTTTGTTTCTTTCCTCTGTGTGAGAATTTCCCAGCAGGCAGCCCGTTTTATGTTCCCTTCAATCTGTCTATATATTATTTTTTTTCTCCAGCCCTCGACCTCAGCTGCTGTGGGTGTATATATAAATATATAATTCAATTTGCAGCCTACTAATTCCTCCCAGCAGCTGGCCGATTTTATCAATCTCCCCTCTTCAATTGTCGGCCTCCCCTTTTCTTTTGGCTGCATGTGCATATATACATAAACAATAAAGCCCTTGTTCTGTATACAAATTAGAAGCCCAAGTCTTTATTGAATTTTATTCCAAATCAGATCCAAACTAAGGCCCAATGCTCCCTTTTATTTCCACTTCCTTCAGCCGACAGATTCCTTTATTTTATTTTTTTTCATTTCCATAAGCCAATAAGTTTTGTGTACTCAATTCTTTCATATAATGCAAGTTAGTCCTCTTCATTTTCTCCTCAATTTTGATCCTCCATCTTTTATTCCGCGAGATTTTGTCCACAAACTCATTTTAATAGCCAATTGATTATTTTCTTTTCCAATTGCTTCAAAACGGGTCCATAACTAAAAACAAAAGAAAATTAACACAAGTTAGATAAAAATTAATAATTTGACGACATAAAAATCTAGTTATTTAGTCCGAATAAGTGCACAAAATGCACTTATCAAATTACAAACAAAAAAGAAACCCAAAAACGAGGAAAGTGCATAAAGATTTATAGGGGATGAGAGAGCTAAATCCACTTGCAAGTTTTTCAGTAACATGATGAAGAAGAAAGGTCATTTCCTCACACCTCTTGTACATAAAAGTGATAAAACAGCCCACATAATAAATCCTTTATATTGTAGGAATAACGCAGTGTTGTAATACATGAGCAAATACTCAAAAGACACAACAAGAAGATAAACATATATAATTAGGCACCACGCAGTTCAACAAAATCTTCACCATCCAGGCTCCAAAATCTAGATCTCCATCATTTCTTGGTGCTTTCTCTGCCCACAGACAAGTTATAGATGCCCTCTGGCAGAGTAAAATCATGAAGTAGAAGGAAAAAATCTGAAGTAACTTAGAAATGGCTTTTTAGGAACTGGAATACACTTCACAATCCAACCAAGTGGCCATGTAAAAGCTGCAAGCAAAATACATATTCCCCATTGACCCCAATTCAACCTCACTGTATCAGCAAATTTCTTTAAAAACTCTACCATCACAACCTGAAGTATAAGAGTTATTCCAATGATTCCAAGAAACAATCCATTCTTATGAATCCCACTAAACACATTCTTCTTCTCCAACTTCCTTGAATTGAACTCGTTGAAAACTTGGCAAAGCACAAATGTGTTGAAGATCAATGTGTTCTTTACCTTCTCTTCCACATTAAAGATTGATTTACCTTTAAACTGCAAGGTTAAGAGTATGGCTATTTGATATAGAGCCTGTGCCAAGAGGTTTCTCCACATAACCCTTGTGATTAAAGGCTCGGTTCGACCGACAGGTGGTTTATGCATAAGCTCATCTGTTGGTCTTTCTGTAGCAAGTGCAAGAGCCCCCAGTGTGTCCATTATGAGGTTCACCCATAGAAGTTGAACCGTGGTTAGGGGAACTTCACCAGCTGAAACTGCTGCAATGAAATTGATGACAAGGGCTGCAACATTGACAGTGAGTTGAAATTGAATAAATTTTTGGATATTATTATAAACGCATCGACCCCATTTCAAGACGGTTGCCACGGATGCAAAATCATCATCCAAGATAACGATATCCGAGCTTTCTTTTGCTACTTCAGTGCCTTGAATTCCCATGGAAAGGCCTACATCAGCTTCTTTTAGTGCTGGTGCATCGTTTGTTCCATCTCCGGTGACTGCTACGACATGACCTTTCTGTTTCAAGCATTTTACCATCAAAAGCTTGTCCATAGGGGATGATCTCGCCATCACACGAATGTTATCAACCTTGAGAATTCTCTCTTCTGGTGTGTAGTTTCTGAACTCGATGCCTTCTATAACTTCGCCATCGCCAAGTTCTTGATCAGATGAAAGTATCCCACATTCTGCCGCTATGGCCTTTGCTGTAAACACATTATCTCCCGTGATCATCTTGATTTGTACTCCAGCAATTCTGCAAGATTCAATTGCCTTTTTAGCACCGGGTCTGCAGGGATCCTTCAGGCCAACTATCGCAAGTAAGGTCAAATCATCTTCATCACATTGAACTTTTTCCGGTTCAATTTGCTTATAAGCAAATGCAATACACCTGAGGCTACTTGCTGCCATTCCCTGGATAATATTTTCGAATTGTGACCTTTCATTTTCACTAATACTCTTAACTTCTCCTGTACTTTGATAATAATGTGTGCACATTGCTAACACCATTTCTGCAGCTCCTTTCCAGTGCACATGGTAGGTATTATCAACCTGTTTCTTAATCAAAACTCCGCTTCGTTTCTTCTCTGAATTGAAAGTTTCAACACGAATAATCTTATAAGTTTGCTTCAGTTTCTCGATATCCATACCCAAATCCTGGACAGCCCAGGAGAGAATTGCCTTCTCAGTTGGACAACCTGAATACTCGATTACAGATTCTGATTTTGGCTTATAAACACTCCCTGTCGTATTGAAGCCGGTTCCCTGGCAGAATAATTCCAGGAGATCCGGGCCAATGGCCTGAGAATATCGATCTTTCTCGATGTTTTCATGGCCGAGCCAAAACTTCATCACTTTCATTTGATTCATTGTCAAGGTCCCCGTTTTGTCTGTGCAAATAACTGTTGCTGATCCCATTGTTTCGCAGCCTGATAAGTTCCTCACCATTGCCTGATCAGCCATCATTCTCTTCATCGAATATGCGAGAGTTAGGGTGACAGCCAGCGGGAGCCCCTCGGGAATCGCCACAACAACAATGGTAACAGCAGTCGAAATAATTTGAAGAACAGAATTGAAAATATCATTTAAATCTGTTCTTCTTCCATTGTATTCTCGCCTTCCATTTTCATCTTCTGTATTTCCAGTGAAATAACGAATCAACATCACTACGAGAACCAGGAAAGCAACAGAAAGTCCTACTTTGCCAATTGATGTAGCCAATTTGATCAGGCGTTCTTGTAATGGCGTCTGTTCGTTAGAATCTTGTGTTATTGAACTCATCATCTTCCCCCAGGCCGTGTTCATCCCAACTGATATCACCAGCATTCGCGAATACCCGTCGGCCACTTTTGAACCAGACAACAGGAACGGATTGAGCTTTGAATCGATTTCCACGTGATCACTCTCTCCTGTCAAGCTCGATTCATCCACTTGAAAGGAATGGCCGTCGGTGAATAATCCGTCAGCCGGAATTTGATCGCCGATCTTCAAGCAAACTACGTCTCCGACTACAATGTCGAAGACGGATATCTTCTGCCTTCTTCCATCTCTAACAACATCAATCTTGATATTGCTACTTATTTTTGACAGCCTATCGAATTGTCTTTCCTGCCTGAAATTGCTAGCTGCTGATACAACAACAACAAGAAAAACAGCTACAAATATGCTGCCACCCTCGTACCAACCTTCTTGAATCCCATGTTCTCTGATCCCAAATGCAAGAGAGAGAACAGCACAGGCAAGAAGGATGATAATGGTGGCATCCTTAAACGCCTCGACTACAAAATACATTAGCCCTTTTGGAGGAGGCTTCTCGTACGTATTTGGACCAAATGCACTCCTCCGTTTTTTCACATCATCTTCGTCTCCGGGAATTCCATTTTCCATATCAGTTTTCAGAAGCCTGGCAATGCCGTCAACGCCGTCAAATTGATGAAGTTCAGCCAAGCTTTTGTTCTTCACCATCTCTGTGAGCTTTGTTTGATCAACGGCGGGAAGAAAAGATCCAGGCACTAAATCTGTACTTGATGAAAGATTCAGGTCGCTGATTGAATCGATTTCAAGAACAATGTGAGAAGGGGAGCCTGAAATTTCTGAATATTTATGATTTCTTGTTCTCTTAATCATAGATTTGGCAAGAGAGAGAGAAAAATGAACAGCGATGCAGGCAATGCGCCATCGCTTCTGGGGTTTTGTGAGGGTGGCGCTGCTAAAATCAAGCAGCATTCTATATAGGCCGCTACCATGATAATCACTGCTTGAACGAAATCTGCTCGCCATTGTTAGTTCTTTCTAAACTCACAGAGATGGTGAAGGACAAGAACTAAGAACTCTGCGTAAGAAAGATTTTCATTCAACAAGCTTAATCTCATGATTATTTATACAAACATGCTATGACCATGTTTGATCCCCATTGTTTGGGAAAAAATACATTTTTCTATAGTATTTTGACATCATTTTAACTACACATTATTCAATAAAATAATATTTCATCTAAATCTAAAACTTTTCTTTATTTTTTAACCACATATTTTCCATCAATACACTACTCAAAAATTCATTTCCCCCCCCCCCCCCAAAATGGGGCTCAAACAAGGGCTATATATAGAAATAATGGTCTTGATATATCATCGAATTGTTTAAAATACCGTCAGCTTTTTCAACACTTATTATATCGCATACTTTCTGACAAAGTTGCATTATTCTTATTTTTAATAAAATTGGGCAGCAGAGCCGCAGAAGGAAGTTTCTTAACAGCTTCCATGTTCATATTATATATATATATATATACACACGAATTAATGGCCTAGTGAACTCTCTCTTCTGTACAACGGAAGCAAATGTACGCAGGTTTCCTTTAGTTGAAAATTGTAAGCTATATCTTAAAACCACTTGCTTTTAATTAATCCAAATTTCGTCTTTAGAGTCTTATTTAGCCGAATTTATCAATATATGTTGTCCATTTGTTGATAGATAACAAGTCACTAAGAATAAAAAAGAATTGGAAAAAGTGGACAACCGAAATATCTACAGTTCGAGTTATTTTCAACAATTAATTTGATTGTACAGATTAATTGATTACATGGAGCCAAAGAGAGAGGAGACCCGGCCCCACGCGTGTATAAAAAATTAACAGTAAATTGTGGACCCCACACATTTTTGTCTTGTATGTAAAACTTCCGTGAACCTTCATTCTGTGAATAAAGCACTGCTCTATTTTCAATTCTAATGTACAAAACGAGTTTATAATTGCATCACTTTTTCCCAATTATTTTTATTGCGGTGTAGAATGATTATTATTGTGTAACAATCAAGCCATTTGTCCAATTAACCCATATTCTACATTTTCTTGTTACATGGAGCCATGATAACTACAACTTGTTGCAGGCTATGCCGCCCAAAGTGAAGTTCTTTTTCAAATGCATTTTATATTTTGTGTATGGTTTGATAAACTTTAAAACATTTCCTAGTAAATAATATTAAAATAATTAATTACTTAAACTGTATAATTCAATTTGAGAGATTCTTACTTTATTACATATTCATAACAAAAATTACTTAGAAGCAATTTTAACTTGGCTTCTTTTAAGTTTAGCCAAACATGTTTCACGCCAATTAGAGAAGTTGCATTCAACTAGAACACTATTTTGACATTTATAACGTGAATTTACAGGTATCCACATGCACAAAATCAGCCTTCCCACCTTACCTAGAAAACCTACCTCCTGGGGCGATTAAATGGCAATTAAATTAAAATAAAATAAAATAAAAAATTGGGGCCAATATATCACTATTTTATTCCACAAACATCTAACCACTTTTCTTACTAGCGTTGTACCCATAATTTACTGTTTCTCATATTCCAAATTTACCCTCAAAATCAATAATCTTTGTGGGGCCAATCAAATATTGTTGCCAAATTATAAAAAAATAAAAGGGCATAAAAGACTTTTGGTTTATCTTAAAGTATTGTTCTTTTTTTCAAAAAAGGACGAAACTTGACGTACAGGCAAGGGGTTCACCAAGCACTCACATCATTAGGAGGTGGATCGGTTTTTGGCCAATTTTTTATACAAGTACATCTTGCAATAAATAAAAGAGGAAAGTTCTTAGCAATTTCCTGGAAGGCACAAAATCAGCAATAAATCAAATAGGAAAGTTCTTAGCAATTTCCTGGAAAGCAACAAAATCAGCCACAGTGCATAAAAAATGAATTATATAATAGACTCTTTTCAAATAGGAAAGTTCTTAGCAATTTCATTGTGCTTTTCACAAAGTGGGGTGAACCTTTCAACGATTTCAGATGGAAAGTTAGTGTGCAATTACTTGAAAAAGAAGCTTACATTTGACTAGGGATGACAAAAAAATCCGTTCAACCCGATACTTACGGAGCCCTCCTACAATGGGACAAGGATTACCCACCTAAACGGGTACATGGGGCAGGTACAGAGCAATGGTCATTACCCTGAAGCGGGAAATGAATGGGTACAGGAAACATAGTTTCCATCCTATTTAATGTTAATTTCAAATTGAAGTTTTTATCAAATAAAAATAATTGATTTATCATCATTTTTAAAGAGAACATAAGTTGTTTTTAAGAAATTGGTAAAAATATAATAATATTTACTAACTAAATACATAAAAAAATAAAAAATAAACGGGGTAGGGGACTTGCCCCGTCCTTCCCCACTTTAACCGGGTATGAGTATGGGGTAAGATAACAAAAATACCCGATGGAGCGGGAGTGGGAATGGCCAACCCGTCCCATACCCGCCCCGTTAGCATCCTTACATTTGACAACGATGTAAGAAGCATGAGAGCAAGTGGAAACACAATGTTCAAAGTTGAGCACTAGTATCTTGAAAGTTGCTAATCATCTCCTTGGTCTTCCCCAAGTTTTGTTCCGGTTTTACACTTCAGAGGATTGAAACGTGTTTTGTGTTGGACTGTATAGAGCCTAATCATATTGTATAGTTATCCACTCGAGTAAATATACATCACCGTAGTAAGGTCAAGGGAGGGTTGCACGAAGGAGATAGGCCCCATTGCTTGTATTTTTAGTTTAGAGGTAGATTTGGTTTTACATGTATTAAGTTGCCCACATATTCATACATTTATAAATGACCACATATGCAAAAATTCATGTGGCGTGTGTCTGTCCAACATGCATATGACAGGACTGTTTACTCAAATCACAAAACTTCCGACTCTGAAACACTCAAATCATGACACCTCAAATGCCAATGAGAGAAACAAAAAATAGTGAATATTCGTTAACAAACATCTTATATACAAGTCAATAAATCAAACCAGTAACATCCTTCAAACTTTGATAAAAATGCAAAACTTTGCATGTGCAATCTGGATCGGAGGAAGAAAAATATTTTCAGTAAGAGTACAATATATTAATCTTGATGGCTAGACATACAAAAGGGAGATAAAATCAATAGTTCAGTTTCGAGGCAAAAATAAGAATCATCAATCGAATATTCTCCAAGGAAAATCTTTCACAGTAAATAGTCAATTCTATAATATCATTCAAGGTTGACGCCAAGCGCACAACAGCTAAACATACATGATCTTGATTTGTAAACTTCTAGCATAATTTTCCCAGAGAAGGGTAGTTGGCAGCCACTTGATCACACCAAATTTCTTAACAATTTTTTAATTGGCCGCGACTTGATCCTACCAAACAAACCTACAATTCTACCAAATTCAGGTGTGCATCCAGAAGCCATATCCATCTAAAGATTGCTTAAAGTCACAGCTTTCTGTAATTTCGCCTTTTCTTATAATCTCGTACTTGTTCTTATCCGGTGCTATCAGCATATCTTTTCTATACCTTTAACCAACTTCCTATCCATTGCCTTGTCATCCAAACTCTAGTGGATTCTACAAACATTTTTTTCTTGCGCAAGTTGTTCCTTAACCTCCTGTCTTCTGTATTTATATAATCGAGTCCAACTAAATTAAACAAGCCTTCTCCCGTTCTCATAGGTCACTTCAATCTATTCTATTCTTCCACTCCACTATATCCTTCACCATCTCAAAAACTAAACCACAAAGACCAATAGCCTTTCAGTGACCTCGTTACATGCGATTTTAAGTTGACCGATTCTTCTAAATTCATCATGTGGCATGAATTTTTCTTCTGCTAAAATAAGTGGCTAAATTGTAATACTCAACCTACAATTTGCCACCTTAGTGCAATTTTTTCACTAATTGCAGATGAATGCGTGTCATGATCTTCACACAGATTAGAAAGATTGTAATAGGCCTATTGGCAAATGGCGTTACTGATTATATTAAGATACGTGTCTTATCCGAGCCTGACAATTCATTCAAAAACAAGACAATAGTTTTCAAGTTTCACCCACACAGAGAACACAATTAAACAATTATTATCCATCAGACACAGAAATACACCATTAATGCTCAAATTATGCACAAGATTAATTATTACAATTACAATTGATATAAGTAACTTCAGGACATTATCCAGTAAATTTTTAAGCTTGAACCGACAAATTAAACCAGTTGCATGAGTAGGCTCTGGTTAGATATGCATGCTTGATGCATAAAACTTGATGGCAACACCATACTTGTAGTCATTCTGGACGTGGTAAAACTTATATCACAAAATTCGGGGTAATAGTTCTTTAGCTTGATTTCTTGAAGAAAATCTTTAAAACCTTACCTAGAAAACATTTAAAGACCATGAGATACATTCAGTTTTAATCTAACAACAATGCACCTGCTAGGCTTTTGTCAACATCTCAGATGGCTCTGTTTGTCACTAGACTCTACATGGTACTGAAAGTTCAGAACTTTTACAATATCTCTATTATATGTTTTCCATCGTGAATTTTCAATAGCTATATACTATTGATTTTCCTCATCCTGGTGCATTGCTTCAGCGCTATATTTAGTTATAATTATAGGAGAAGACAAATATAACATCTTAAAAGTACAACATATTCATTACTATTAGTCTACTCTCTGGTCGTGATTCCAGAACAATGTAGAGGCATTTCAGTATGTCATAATAACGACGAACGTCAATGTTCGGCTAAGCTTGAAACTAATTTTTAGGTAATATGTTTGAGGTTTTTAAAAGTGACTTCTTTTCGACTTTTTAGTACAAAATCTTACCTTTTTTGACAGTAAGGGCCGTTTGATATGGAAAATTTTCCGTGGAAATTTTTTCTTTTGATGTGTTTGACATCAACAATTTTCCATGGAAACCCCCCCCCCCCCCCCCCCCCCCCAAAAAAAAATAAAAACACGTGACCTTTTTTCCTTGAAATATTGGAAAACCAATTCCCACCATTTCCAGCTTTATTTATTTATTTTCAGCAATGGGAACAAAATTACCCACAAATGTAAAAAAATTTATCCCTCTAATTGACATTTTTCGTTAAAAACAAAGTCAAACGAACACTAAAACATCCAAAATTTTAACATTTTCCACTTAGAAAATTATATCAACCAAACACATTTAATTAACAATTCTCAGTAAAACAAGTTCTAGGCAATTCAATTCCCTAGAATTCATTTTCTTTCCACCCAAATTCCATTTTTGCAATTAAACGGACCCGAGTCTTTACACGCTATCCATTAAAAATACATGAGAGAGAGAGAGAGAGAGAGAGTGTATTAAGCTTAGATTTTGTAAATGCACCATCACTGAATTTTTTACATCATAACACCAGCTAGATAAAAGTAGATATTATGAAATAATAGTGATATTACAGATTCATATAACAAAATTCTAGAGTTAAGAAACGTATATCTTACCTTTTGTATTGCATCCAAAATTCCAGCTTCTCGGAGGGTTCAATTCAAATTTCGTCTTTTCCACGTCCTTCCAAAACCAAATTTATTCATAAATCTACAATTCTCAAAAAAAAAAATAATAATAAATAAATAAATAATAAATAATAAAAATTTTGATACATTTCATTCCACAAAAATTACCTTTTTCCACTACAATTTCTCAAATAATCGCCAATGCCCGTGTCGTTAGAACCCAGTAAATCACTCCCTTTAATATTAGTCACCTCAAATTTACATCTAAATTCACCCCAAGACTTGTCAAAACCAAGACACCCAACCCCAAAACTTTCATTATTCACAAAACACACCCCAGAAATCAATTTTGAAACCTCCTTCCAATCCACCTGTTTAGAATTCCACCCATTCACTTTAATCCTAGCATTTTTAAACGCTGGCAAACACTTCTGTTTCGCAAATTCACCGCACTTCGCTTTTGCAGATTCAAAACATGCTTCCATTTCGAGCTCCTCGCATTTTGCTCTTTCACTAAAGTCCTGTTTAGCTAGGCCTAAAATCTCCTTCCACCAGGGGGGTTTGCATTTGCTGGAAGCGGAAATGGAGCACCCGACGCGGGCACCTGATTCGCATTGTTCGATTATTCGAGCCTCGCACGCCTTGTACGCGGCGGCCCAGGATTGGGGATCCTCGAATGCCAGGAGATATGGACCGGAAGATGGATTGTCTGGTGTGCCGGCTTTGATGGGTCGACGGAGAAGGGGAACTGGACGGCGGAAGGGGATGAGGGTTGCTGCAGCGGAATAGTCTTCCAGGTCTTGCGGTGGCGGTCGTGGTGCGGCCATTGGACAGTGGCATTAAAGATTGCAGCAAGCCTTTCTAACATCTTTCGCGATAACGTAAAAGCGTTGTAGCACTTTTCGAGTAAATATGCTGCGCCTTCTTATCTTAGTAGCATTAACCTATAATATCACAAAAACAGGTTATAATTATATTTTTGAAAGATTAAACCTAAGTCGAAACTCTCGAATCGAAACCAAAACCAAATCGGAACCGTCCAAAAATAAATAATTATGAATCGAAAGATAATAGAAATCAACTGGTCCAAATCAATTTTTAGTTCCTGAACCAGAATTGTAGATAACCGAATGGAACCGATACTTTGTATAATTTTTTATAATTTATAGTCTAGATAAATATATATATATATATATATAATCTAGAAACTCTAATTTGGTTAATAATTTGTTAAAACACTATACTCTAATTCTAAGAAATCGTGATTGGATCCTACTTATTCGCCTCTCGTTTCATATGAGATTGTAACATTCCAGATATTAATGCATATTAATCTTTGCAATTTAAGCTTTTTCATTAATCAAAAAATTCAAGTTAGTGTTGTAATGCAAGTTGATGAATCAAAACATTCATTCTTTACAACTCAAGGTTTCATTTTCTTGCATTATTTACAAACTTAAGTGAGGTTTTAATTTTTTTAATAACACGTGGCAATTGAATTTGATATATTCCTAGTTTTGATTGTGGTATAGCTTTTTGGTTTTCTCTAATCCATGGTTCTCTTTCGAAATATAATTTTTCCTTGCTCAGGTATGAGCAATTCAATCACATGTGCTCAATTGAATATGCAACCACGGAATTGCTAAATCCCCCCATGAGATTAGTCAAATAAAATCAAGTTATCGAGTAAGCATTGGAATCGGTTTTGGTTTCTTATTCTAGTTATCATTCCTGGAATGGGTGAGTTCAATACATGGATTGTAATTTTTTAATACTATATAATTATCTATATAATTAGTATTTTTTTTATGTCGATTCATTTTAAAAGTAAAATAATTTAAGCATTATCTAATTAAATTAGAGGCCCTAGCATGTCTCATTGAGTCATTTATAGATCGAATAAGATTTATCAAGAAAAATTAATTATTCTCAAACTGTAATTTAATTTTTTTTAGTTTTTTAGTCCCCACTATTTTGAGTCTGGATTTATTTGATTTTTGGATTACTTAGATTTTCTCCTTTGCACAAATATTGTCCAGCTATAGCATATCAGGTATACGTATCGAAAGGGCCTATACATATGTGTGCGCAGAAAATACATAATTACTACACTATAACATTCACATTTCAAAACTAACAATTTTGCCAAATTATTTCAAATTAGTAATATATAAATATATAATATACAACTAATACACACACACACACTAGTCTTTACCCATGCAATGCACGATTGTGATATTTTTTAGGTAATGTTAGTGTGTTCAAGGTTAAGGATTAATGAAAAATATGTGAACTGATTGAAGAAAGGTTGATATATATGTTAGGGTGTATATCATAACACCACATAAGCCATAAACTCAACAATGAATTTAAAAAATTAGAATATATAACTTGGAAAGATGCACTTATTACTAAACAAAAAATTTAAATTATTTTTAACAAGAAATGAAAATGCATCACATTATCATAGTATAACATTATTGTGGGTGAATTGCTAGATCATATGAAGATCAAAAGAGAACCTGCAGGTTTCATACTTGGCCATCGAATAAAGTATGCAGAGACCTACTGTTTGCTACAAATGCCCTGCCTTGCAATTTTTTGTAAGGCATTAATCTCAATCATGGAAGCTTTTTAGTAGTTACGTATTTAGCAAACAATTTTAATTGCAACAATCTCTTATCTTAAGCAAATATGGCAAAAAATGCCTCCCTTACAGTTTCTCAAAAGCCTTATTCAAGGCATTACCCTTTAGAGCATCCAAGTAATCGTTGGAGTGAATTAACTAATGCACAGCCACCGAATTCCTTTGCATCTCCCTTCGGAACTCTGTATCTAACTTTCCCAATGCATACTTGATCAACCTCAATGCCTGCATGAAAGAAATTTGAAATTCAAGACTATTCAAGTACGTTTTACTCATATAAATTATGCGAAAAAATAAAAAACAAAGAGATAATCTATAGTTGAAGCAGATTGATAGAGCAACTACATAAAAAAAATTATAAAAAAAATAATTCATATGAAATACTTTGAGCTACTCAAATTAGCAAGAGTCGATAATCTCAACTAAACTGCTGAATCTAGAACCAATCACTTATCATTCCCACAAGCTTTAAGCAATCGAGTTGTAGAGATTAGCAATTTAGTTGTCATAAAACTTTATTTCTACAGTTGCACTACCGTTTTCCTGTGGCTGATTTTATTTTTATTTTTTTCTCTCCACACCTGATGGATCTCACAAACATCATCAATGGCATGAGGAAGTAAATTAAATACATGGGAGTTGCACTTGAATAATTTGATCTTTATAAAGCCAACTCAATCATGCAGGGTATTATGTAAGTTGTATTTCATGCTAGGTGAGTAATGCTAAAAAATTATATAGATAAAAAAGATATCATCGTGACAGTTCCTTAAAATTCTGAATAGACTATTTTAGGATCTTTTATTGGTGATAAACTAATTTTTACAAAACAAATCAAACTTAAATCCTAGACTATCTGAAAGTAAGTCAAACTTTCGTTTGGACATAAAACCTGGCAGTACAATAAAAAGAAAAATGGATGGGAGGACCAAACTTTGGTACGATATTTTGCCTCATAAAGTAGTCCATAAATAGAGCAAAAGCATCCATTTGAGCAAGCTATTATATTTTAGCTGAATCAAATGAATTCAAGACTATCTCATTCATTCGATCGGACTAATAATTCATGTCCGAAACTAAAGGTATGAATTTATTGTTATATATTAGAGATTTAATAGTATTTTCAAAAATAATAATGATTAAGCTTAATCCTTACAATATTTAATGTGTACATGTCCATTAACTTCAAAGAACCCCCATATCCGTATCTTCTACTGTCACATCCAATTCAACAATTACATTGTCACCTTTTACAATCTTCTCTTCCTCTTCCACATCCAACAAAAAAATTGGAAAAGATCTTTCCTCGTCAGCAATATAGATAAATTTTTCATAATAGGAAAAAAGAAAAAGGGAGATTTCCTGTAACGCCCCGAACTCTTTTTCATATTAATATATTATTTTTAAATTAAAATAAGCTCGAGGTGCTACCAAAATTTTTCTCTATCTAATTTAAGCGGAAATATATCGAAAATACTCGATTTGAAATTATTAATTTAAAATTTAACATAACATATCGAATGCTTGAACAACATATTAAATAATATGTATACGATATTTTTTTAAATAAAAGTGGACAATTATCTTTCTAGAAAATTTACTTGACGACCCCATTAGCATCGCTCTGTCAATTTTCCACATGTCCACACGATCCGTTCTCATCTGAAAATATTATAAGAGTGAGTATTTTGAAAACACTCAGTAGGAATACTTGCATATTCTTATAACATGATATAAACATAATATGGTATAATATACTGACATTTCTTAAATTTAAAACATCTGGTCGCGATTCCAACAGTCCAAGGAATTTCTTAAGAATCCCCATATCCCGTAGGATTTAACATATTGACCCAAAGGTCCATCCCGTAGGATTTAACTTCTTTTCTTTGACCTGACGGTCCATCCCGAAGGATTTAACATAAAATTCGACCCGAGGCCTTATAGTATTTCATGCCAAATTTACATATATATCAAGAATAAGATTTTACCACTTGCATCATGTATTCTTACCTCAATTAACACCAGTGATTTGAAATGATAATATGGAAGTAAATAGAGTGTGTGTGTTAAAATAAAAATAAACTCATAAAATTTCTAATACAAACACTCTCATCTCGCACCATATATATAATCACCCGCTCGTAACCTACAAGGAATTCAAAAGGTTGGTGACATAATTTAAAATCAATGAATTTAATTAATACTTGATTAGGATAATTATTTTGGTAATTATGTTTACTATCTTTTGGAATTCCTACATGAATCGTATCCTTTTTCTTTGTCTTTTTTTTTAATATATATATATATATATATATATATATATATATATATATATATATTAATAAAATATTAAATGTTGACACTTTTCTTTTTGTTAGAATAACTCAGACTTCCAAATTATATTATTTAACACGAGCTATGAAACGAGTATAATATTGATATATTTTCATCAACTTTAAATATTTGACTCAAATAATTTTCTAAAAGTTCATGTAAACAAATAAATCATTTATGCTAAATGACAAGTTTAGGTTCACATAGTAAGAAAAATGCGGGGTGTTACATCCCTTCCCCCTTAAATTAATTTCGTCCTCGAAATTATCTTGACTTTTCCTCTTTATAGTGACTTGATAAGTTCTATCCATGTATATCATATAAACATTCAATTATGCTCTATCTTTGTAAATCAACTTATACATTCTGCTCTTGTATCTTTAATAAAATTACTAGTCACCATATCTTCATGTAAAAAATAATAATAACTTGCGTAACACATTTCTTTCTAACATTAACATCATAAGCATTTCATGGAATCAAACTTAAATGATTAATAAGTCATGCTTGAAATTAAGTTTAAACATAACATTTTGTTCATACCTTGGGTTCATCGGATGGTAGTAGATTGACGAGCGTTAAACGCCATGGGTCTTATTTTAAATACTTGTTTAGTGAAAATTTCATATATAAATAAGTAGACATGTACTCAACATAAGTAGAAACTGCTTTCTTAACAAGTTGATTAGTTATATTGAAATAAGTAGAGTAAAATCATTTCATTTACTTTAGAAATTACCCTTCCTTTTTTTTTGAAAACTGTAATAATTAAAGAACAAGCACATACTTTATCAGGTTCCTATATTTGAAGTGGGAGAAAATAAAATTTATGAATCTCTAATTCGAGAAGTAGAAGTAATATTAAAGAATCAATTGAAAATTGTCGGCAACGTGTACATGTGTGAGTATCTGACTTACATCAGGTTACAAATGAACAGTTTAGTTTCCAACATTTGGGATCATGCTGCACTTAATACACGTGTACAGAATAGAATAGGACATATTTTATGGACTGTAATCTTCAAGAACACTTTAAGTTTGTGTGTTTAAACAACACGATCAAAATGCTGAGGCACAAATTTTATGAACACCATAAATATGTGAATATTTGGCAACTGACAAGCAATTTTAGTTATAATTTTTTTTTTTAAGTACACACACTTGGTTTCTAGTGCATATACCCATTTAGTACATATATCACACTTCCATGCAATTAAGCTTTTAAATTAAAATTTAATCATTATAAAGAAACTAAACATTCAAATAGTTTATTCAAAATAAATTCTATTAATTTCACAATCATAAATATTTAATAGACAAAAAAAAATCATGTATTTATATTTCATGTAGACCACTAAGTCTTCGAAATAAATTATCATTCTAAGAAAAATAATTTATACACGTAAATCACATTTGAACATGATGAAGAAATATAAATACGTTTTTTAAAAAAAAAACGACGAGTCTACAGAATCTACTAAACTCGTGCTCTGATACCATTCTGTAACGCCCCGAACTCTTTTTCATATTAATATATTATTTTAAAATTAAAATAAGCTCGAGGTGCTACCAAAACTTTTCTTTATCTAATTTAAGTGGAAATATATCGAAAATACTCGACTTGAAATTATTAATTTAAAATTTAACATAACATATCGAATGTTTGAATAACATATTAAATAATATGCATACGATATTTTTCAAATAAAAGTGGACAATTATCCTTCTAGAAAATTTACTTGACGACACCATTAGCATCGCTCTGTCAATCTTCCACGCGTCGACACGACCACTTCTCATCTGAAAATATTGTAAGAGTGAGTATTTTGAAAACATTCAGTAAGAATACGTGCATATTTTTATAACATGATATAAACATAATATGGTATAACATACTAACATTTCTTAAATTTAGAGCATCTGGTCGCGATTCCAACAGCTCAAGGAATTTCTTAAGAATCCTCATATCCCGTAGGATTTAACATATTGACCAAAAGGTCCATCTTGTAGGATTTAACTTCTTTTCTTTGACCTGACGGTCCATCCCGAACGATTTAACATAAAATTCGACCCGAATGCCTTATAGTATTTCATGCCAAATTTACATATATATCAAGAATAAGATTTTACCACTTGCACCATGTATTCTTACCTCAATTAACACCAGTGATTTGAAATGATAATATGGAAGTAAATAGAGTGTGTGTGTTAAAATAAAAATGAACTCAAAAAATTTATAATACAAAACACTCTCATCTCGCACCATATATATAATCACCCGCTTGTCACCTACAAGGAATTCAAAAGGTTGGTGACATAATTTAAAATCAATGAATTTAATTAATACTTAATTAGGATAATTATTTTGGTAATTATGTTTACTATCTTTTGGAATTCCTACATGAATCGTATCCTTTTTCTTTGTCTTTTTTTTAATATATATATATATATATATATATATATATATTAATAAAATATTAAGGGTTAACACTTTTCTTTTTATTAGAATAACTCGGACATGACTAATCCAAAATTACTTTTTCTTGATTCCAAATTATATTATTTAACACGAGCTATAAAACGGTATAATATTGATATATTTTCATCAACTTTAAATATTTGACTCAAATAATTTTCTAAAAGTTCATGTATACAAATAAATCATTTATGATAAATGACAAGTTTAGGTTCACACAGTAAGAAAAATGCAAGGTGTTACATTTCCAGCATAGCCCAGAGAGAAGGAAACAAAACAATCAAATAGAATTGAAAATTTTCTAAATTGACGTAGCGGAAATATTATAGGGAATATGAACAATCACAAATTGAGAAAATTCTCAAAGAATATTTTATTGAATTTAAGAACTATTGCCTCTAAGAACTTACAACCGATTAAATAGAAGAAAAACCTAGGAAAATCAAAAAATAAAATAAAATAAAATAAAAAGATATTTTTTTTCCAAAAATAGAAAATATGAGATAATTACTAAGATGGAAAATATTTATTTTCAGGATCATCCCACAACAAACGGAATCTAAATCCGAATTTCATGGAAAGAGATATTGCAAAAATGAAAATTACCATAAATAGCAAAAACGATTAACCGAGGGCCTAAACGATGGATTTTGCCCGAAATTGGCTTTGCGTCAGGGCCAAAGGCGCTGAGTTTTATTTCTTGACTCGACTCCAATCAAATTAGACTAGCGGTTTGCCAAAAACGAGCAAACCCAAAGTCATCATGAAATCATTTGCCCTTTTTGCCAACTTTTGCCTTGTGATGGTCCTATTTTGTCATGAACTCTAATTTCTTATGCACTTCATCATAAATGAACAATTTTTATTATTTCTTTCACTCTATAAAGTTGCAACAACCAAAAGTAATTATGTTCATGTATCCATGACACTAAATGTTCGTCCAACTGTTTTAACAATTGACCATATGCTAAGTTCAATGGAAATCGTTGCAACCAATATAAAGGTAAGAGAATACTAATTAGCATCCTTCCACCATTTAGATATGGTTGGCTAGAAACAGAGATGGACGACACAAGCTTTCTAGTGGATTTAAATGCCATGAGTTTGTCATTGCTTAAAAAGAGGATGCTTGCAAGCATTTTAGTTAATAAGTCTTCTTAAATCTTATTCGGCAAAGTGGAATTGCTTACGTTGCTCTGAAAAGAAAAAGAATTAAGTAAAAAAGAAGAGAGCACATAACTTTTTTAAATGGATTGAAGCAACTGATACGCTTACTTTTTGAGCTTACAATGCTTAAATTCTCGAGTGCTTACAGGAAATAAAAGCAAACCTCAGATCGCTAATCAGTGGTAATAGAGAAGTACAGATACTCGATAAATAAACAGTGTCACCACAGTACCAATTACACACAGTGCATCTCTCTGAAAAGATTCAATTATCTCCAGTTATGGTTTGATATTTTACCATGACAATGGAAGTCTTCATTTCTCAATTTTTGGCTTTTGCATGACATGACTATGGCACGGAATGCATAGAAAGACTTTCAATGGACTTGATAGCCGCACAATAAATATTATCATGCACATAACCAACTATCTCTGAATGTTCTACAAAAAAATAACCATCATAAAATTTTAACTAAAACGAAACCATTCATTTTTAGATGGATTGAAAAGAAAAATAACAAATGAATGGTGATGAATGTCCAAGGAAAGAACTAACAATTCCACTGTAATTTTGAATATGATCTATTGTCAAAGTTTAGTAAAATAGGCCTCCCACATTATGACCATTCATGGGTTTTGAAAAAATATTTCTAAAAGAGCATCTTCAGTTGAAGTATATTGCACAATTGTGAACATGTAGCACACACCTTACCACTTCAAACATTTAACTGGGTGTTATGTACCAAAAAAAAAAAAAAAGGTCATGAAGTATATTCTGCAAACTAATTACTGCAAGAGCACGTAGAAGTATTGGATGATCATTAGTTCAATACTCATTTATGCTTCTGATCGATCACCTGATGATGATTTGAAGAAGAAAAGCCTTTTATCTCATGGGAGACTCTGGCTCCAATCTACTGCCCTCACCACTACTTGAAAGTGCATTCACTATTTCAGTACTCTCTTCTCATGATTTTCAACTTTCCTATACCTATAATTAAATGATACAAACCATCCCAACAAAGTTAGTCAATACTTAAATTGCTTCGAGCCTAATTATGCTATTGATTTATACAAAATGAAAATAAAAACTCCGAATACTTGTAAAATATACAGTGAATTGAAATGGTCATAGAGAGGAAAGTGTACTCTTGGGGTGTGATGGAACTTCATAGGCCAAGAAGGGAACATTTGTTGCAGCTTTCCCGATGTATAAAGCTTCAGAAAAACATGAAATCAAAATCTTTCAGAATCAACAGCAAAATAAGTAGAATTTTATAATCAAGCCCTATACACACGTAAGCAGAAAAAATTCACCGTCCAACAAAACATAGCAAACCTACACCAAGGTAGTAGACTTGCAATAGATAATGGTCTCTAGTCTTTTATAGACTGCAAAAATTGAAAACGGACAGACATGAAAAATCTCAGGCAAATTGAATTAGTCTACATAAGATTATAAACTAATAATTATGGGGAAAGTCCCAAAAAAAAAAATTGATCTTCTAAACATATTCCCATAAGCTTAACTCTTAAAAAAGGGAAAAATTCATATATCAGGTGTATTGTTTACACCAATTCATAAATCAGATATAAAGTTTAAAAATTCAAAATTCAGATTTCTGTATAATTAATTGAAAATATTTATTAATTAATTATAATAAAGTCACAATTACACAATTAATTGTCACAGATTCATAATTATTGGTCACATATCATCGAATTAATTGGTTACAGATTATTTCGAATCACAAATTCAAAAAATTTGTAAGTCACAGATCAAAAATTTACAGGTCACAAATCAAAAAAATTACAAATCACAAGGTCATATATATTCAAATTTATTGGTCACATGCACCAAATACCCCCACTATCGATCCCAATCCAACACCAATCTTCGTTACAAATCATAATTACGCAATTGTCGCAGCTTCCGAGTCACAAGTTATAGATCACATGTTATATGTTTCAAGTCACATTTTGCATTGATAACACGTAACAACAAGATATATTTGATTATAGCTCCCAGATTTCATCTTTAGCTAACTAAAAACATTTTTGAAGAATTTATACAGCAAAAAATTGATTAAAGAAAATTTTTTCGTTGTAAGTACACAAAAAATTAGGAAATTGTACTTAATATTCTATTTAAAACTCCCCTAAATCGAAATTCAAAGAAAATGAAAGATTGCACTTTCTAAGTTTCAAAACAGATCTTAACCTTTTAAAACAAATAAAATAAAATATAAAGAATAACACTAAATCATTTACATTTCTCCCTCATCCATCACACTATTCAAAAACAACAGACCATGCACACACTCACTTTCTGCATCATTTCACGCGCACACAATAGACATACACTGAGTGTGAGACAACCATGGCTTTGTTATTGAACAATATGGTGACTTATCAGTAAGATTTAGATGTCTAATGCTGGAATTCTTCGTTGCAAAATTGTGGCATACTTCGAGGATGAAAATAATTTCTTATCTTTAATCCCATAATAATACAACTGCTTTGGGCACTTCTCCTTCGCTGTAGTAACTATGCTGTTGCTCGACTCTCACATCTTCGAAGGTGGCAGCGCTCCTCAAAATTGACGGTTATCGATGAAGGGTAGAGAGAGAGGAAAGTCGGCGTGGAAAGAGGGACGGGATTGAAAATTGAAATGGGAGAAATGATTACGATTTTTAATTGAATTGGAGATTAATTATATATAGTACCTGAGTTTTGCATAAGTAAACTTCATTTTTTAATTTTGAATTTGAAAATTTAAGTACCTAGTTTTATGTAATTTTCCCCTTAAAAAATGGCTATAAAATTTTTCAAACTAATAGTTGGATAATTTTTTTTGTAAAAAGGATGTATAGTATTGATTTTTTCCGAAGGTAAAAATGACACAACTGAAGAAGAAAGTGGTTGATTATTCTACAATTTGATTTTCGAGAGTCTTCATATAACTAAGTAGAAGCTGTAGAGGTGAAAAATGCAGACAAAACATAAAAGAAGAAGACGACAATGAAGTTTTCAAAACAAATAGAGAAAGCGAAGGAAATGAAATGGCATTTAATGATGGTGGTACAATCAATTTATTTGATAATAGTCATTTCAACATATACCCTCACTTTAATAATTAGTTTGCTAGATTTACCCTTCACTTTAGAGCCACACTTGGCGTACAGGGGTGCCTTCACATGGGTTTTATAAGTCACACACAATAGGGGTGGGTGGATGTATTTTTTTGATAATATTTACTCACATTGGGTGGACTCCATGTGATTATTCTGAAATTGTCTTGTGAAGCATTATTCTGTACACTTTATGGCTTCACATTATTTTCATAGCTATTAATGTTGAGGGTAATATGAGAATTCAAAATGATAACATGCTATTACTAATTCAAAAGTCAATTGAGAAAAAATGCATGTGCCACCCGTCAATCAATAGGGCCCACATTCATTATGCAATGGATTGTTGTTTTTCTCACACCAAAAAACTGCTACAATAGACACCTAAGAAAAAGGCAATCGGCCACAGAAAGAAATCATTTCAGCTATAGTACACTGTCAATTATTTTGTTCCTAGGTACAGTAATCACTGGTTTTGCAACAGTGCACACATTTTCCTTCCCACATTATATATATCAAATTTTTAGTAGATTTTCATAAAATTAAGTGAAATATGTGATTGAAAGTTGTAAGTTCCTTAAAATATGTGGTTAAAACAAGTTGTTAACTTTGACTTAGATTAAAATTTGGATTATAATTTTTACCAAACAGGAGCATAATATAGTTTAGATACACACATACGATTGACATAAATTCTATCCCCACCTGACCTACGGACCCAACCCCCGACCCTATCCCACCCCTAGAAAAATTTCAAAATTGAAAGCTTTTTTCTCTAGATTACACCCCACTCAACGGAACTCCCAACCGCTCCATCTATAGAAAATCTCCAAAAGTTTAAAACGTTTTTTGAAGATTACACCTCACCCCACGGAATCACCCCAACGCGCCCCAGATTTGTGACCAAGATTATTGTTTGTGAACGGATACCAAATTTTATCTTCAGTAAGACTGTTTGTAATTGCCTAATTTGTGACTATATACAACCAAGTCAAACTAACATGTGTTAACTGTGATCAAATTTGTCTTTAACGCAATTAACTGTGATCAAATTTATCTTCAATGTGACTATCTATGATCAGATCAATCTTAACTATAACAATATGTGATCAAGTCACAATTGATCACGATTAACACAGAATTGGTCACAACCAGTCATAATAAATACATAATTGGTCATATAGGGTGGGGTGGACATGATTCCTTCTGGTTCTAATTCCAAGATAATCGAACCATGAACTAATGATTTTTTTTATGATGAGACCAAATGGTTTTTTTTTTTTTTTTGAAAGTTATGGAACCAAACTAAGACCTAACTATTCGATTTTTGTTTGATTTGGTTCTAATTTCATTATTAATTATAAAAAGAGAGAAAGTAATGTAACGATGGTGGCTACGCGACGATAGACGACAGGCAGTAGGTGTTGGTCTTCATGTGAGAATCAATATATAAATTGAAGGGAGAAAACGAGAAATGATTTAGGGTATGGTGTTTCCAAAATGACTTAAGGTCTCGAGTCTCCACATTGAGAATGAGAAATTGATGGTACACAACCTTATTGTTTTGATTTTCAATTGAATTTTACAATTTTTTAGTGTGAATCGTGATTAACTAATTTGTAAAAAATATATATAAAAAATAATGAAATTTAAATATTAAATTTTTTTTTGGTTTTGGAACTAGAATTGAATTAGAACAAAATAGTTCTCAATTATAAGTACGAGACAGGAGCAGATCGGACCTTTTATGTTGTGGAGTCGAAAATTAATGTGTAACTTTTTTAAAAACAACATAATATTAACGAAAATAAGTAAATACGCATTTTGATACTTTGAAAATGTCATATAATTATATCATTATCATTATTGTTAAATGAATTTTGCTATTGTATAGTTTTATTTACCATTTCGTTGACAGATGTTGAGTTGATGACAAGTAAATCAAATTGAATGTACAAAGTAAATGAATTAAAATAAAATTCACATTTATTCTAAGTAAATAAAATTTAAATTTGAAAAGTAATTCAAACTTACCTTTAATTTGAAAGTAATTCAAACTTACATTTAATTCGTAACGATCCAAAAAATTTTGACGTCATATTTCATGTAAAATTTCTTAATAAAATGATGCAAATTATATTAAAAATTTATCGTGCAAAATAATAAATATTAATGAAATAATTAGATTTTTTTAAAGAACAGACGAGTTAGACATATCTTTTAAAGACATAAATTTGACACATATTTAACTATTTTCGATATTCGTTTGGACCGTTCAATATGGTTGCGATTTAGTTCTCGAAACGAGCTTCTAAATGACATAGACGATATGTGAATTCGAATAGTATATGATCACGACGAATTTTAAAAGTTAGCATATTATCGAAATTCTAGTTTGTAACGGTTTATTTTGATGCGTCGTAACTTTTGCTACAATTGATCGTTTCGCTCGCCATTAACTAGAGAAAAACTAGGTCATTAGCACTTTGAAATGGTATTAAGAATGTAAGGTCTCGACTTCATTTGTCATCCCAAATGAGTGCATCAAGGTAAGTCGTAAAAGGGGCCAAAATAACTATTTTCTGAAAAAACAATAAACAAAAATTTTGTGGGATCATTTGACCCCATATGGGTTTGCCCCTTGTTACTAGAACCACTATTTTCATTTTTATTTTTGTAGAACCAAATCGATTCTGGTTTGGTCCAATCTAGTTTGGTTATTTTGCCCACCCCTAATAAAGGGTCACCACAAACATATCTGCACACACCCTAAATCGGCACCACCATCAGCTCCAATGCACCACCACTACCATCTTCAACTTAAATCCACAATAATAATCGACGCCAATAGAATGTCACGCTACCTCACCCCGTCGATGCTAGTAGCACCATTACTACCAACACTGCCGTTACCACCACCACCACCACCAACAACAACAACTAACAATCACCAACAAAAACTACAAAATACAGACAAACCACGAACTTCTGGCATTCAACCAACAGTTAATGTCAATGCTGGGCATTGCGCCTGACGTTCAACACCACCACAGGAGGTGATGCATGCTACACAATGTACGCATCACCCATTGTCACTAGTGCAGCGATGATGAAACAAATTGTCATCGCCTTTCAAGGATCAGATCGTCGACGACACTCATAATGCAGATCATCACCGGCACTCATTGTTGCTTGTCGCATGTACTATTTCGATCGAAAAGCAACGTGGGTGCCGAAAAATAATAGTGGTAGAGGGGGTGGGGAGGGTGATAAAGAAAGGAAGAAGGTGCAAAAATATTTAGGGTTTGAAAATGAATTTGAATTTGGGATGAATGGGGTGGGGTGGCGTGAATATGTAGATTAGGTTTAATTAATTTTTTATTAATTATTAGAATTTAAAAGCCATCTAATTAGTGAAATGATAATTAATGCTCCTTATTTCTGAAAATTAGGCTTTAAGTAGATTTCTAGATAATTTTCCCTTAAAAAAATGTTATGAGTAGACTCGAACCCGAACCCTAACCAACTGTTTGAGTTTTGATTTGGTTCCAATAGTTCCAAATGATTCCATTTACGAAATACCTCGAAGTATAATGAGTAGTCCAGGTATTGAAATATCCGAACCAACTTACCAAATGTCCAAGCCTGATAAAAAAATTAAAATGAGAGAGAGAGAGAGAGAGCTTAATATTGTAAAACTTATTGTTGTTGTCACAGGTTTGATTCATCTTCGTCTGTTGATTAGACCTGTTGTTCAATTAAGGATGTCCAAAGAGGAGTTCATTGGCCAAGACAATGCTATACACAAGGATGAAGCATATGCATTGTGAGGGGACGGCGAAAATTTTGCAGAAGTGTAGGAAGTCGAAGATCTCAAGAATAAGATCGAGAGCTTGACACGTGTCTGTTAATGTACATAGCATAGAATGCAGAGAGACAGAGCGCGCGAATTGTGTGATATTTTATCTATGGTATTCGAATCGAGATTTTCCATTATGATTTGTATTCAATCTTCTATATAAAGATGATTAATGATATTTGATATTGTTACTAACCAATATAGTATAGTTGTATTAAGTGGCTTAATGGCATGGATTTTCTTGATATGTTTCAACAAATTAATAGGAATATTATTGCACATGAAATGTAACATTCCATAGCCCCTCTTTTACTCTCATTCTCTTTCTATTTTTATACGATAATCGACATGGAGCTAGGTACGAAGAATGAACGAAGGAGATGCAATGCCTTGCATTTAATATGACAGGAATTTAGGGCCAGAAATTCATTTGACAGATCGAACTTAGCTATTCTTTCGGTTTAAAACTGAAAATCATACAGCAATTTCATTCTTATTGCTGTCAAATTCTTCTGTTTCCATTAACGTTTTTAGAGTCGAGTCTCTGTAACCTCTCCAACTCGGGTCCCTTCCGGACCCTGTTGGTGACGACACAATTATACGCCGGTTTTGCAAGTTCAATCTGTATTTCAATACATTGTAGCCGCGGAAAATGTCACAGTTTCCGGCAAACTTGATGCCCGATGAGGCCAGCCCGGAATGGATGAACAAAGGCGACAACGCATGGCAGCTCACAGCAGCAACTCTAGTCGGACTCCAAAGCGTTCCAGGCCTCGTTATTCTTTACGGCAGCATCGTCAAGAAGAAATGGGCTGTAAACTCAGCCTTCATGGCTTTATATGCCTTCGCCTCGGTCCTGGTTTGTTGGGTGATATGGGGCTACAGAATGTCATTTGGGGACAATTTGTTACCATTCGTTGGTCTTCCTAACATCGCCTTGGACGAGAAATTTCTTCTACGAAAAGCGTTTCTTGGGTCGTTCCCTAACGTGACTATGGTGTATTTTCAGTTCGTGTTTGCTGCGATTACATTGGTTTTGATTGCTGGTGCATTGCTTGGGAGAATGAATTTTCATGCCTGGATGATTTTTGTCCCACTTTGGCTAACATTTTCCTATACCATTAGTGCTTATAGCATATGGTGCCCTGATGGCTGGTTGTCAAAGATGGGAATTATTGATTTTGCAGGGGGATACGTGATTCATGTCGCCTCAGGGGTCTCGGGTTTCACTGCTGCTTACTGGGTATACTAAAATCTCGTTCATAACTAATTCTACCATAAAAGAGAGAGCATCTATGTATGATTTTTTATGCAGGTCGGGCCGAGGTCAATTAAGGATCGAGAGACATTCATCCCAAACAACATTCTGTCAATGCTAACCGGCGTTGGGTTCGTCTGGTTGGGTTGGACGGGATTCAATGGTGGAGCTCCGTTTGTGGCCAGCATCGATGCATCCATGGCCATCCTTAACACGAACATTTGCACCGCCACAAGCTTGCTCACATGGCTCATTCTTGACATCATATTCTTTAAGAAACCTTCTGTGCTTGGCGCCACCCAAGGCATTATCACTGGCTTGGTCTGTATCACCCCTGGCGCAGGTAAAATAACATTGTTGAGTCATTTTATCAAACGTTGATATACATATTGGTGGGACAAACACATTAGGTATTGTTGGAAATAGTTTTGAATTGATCTACTTTGAGCTCAATTTTATGTGGGACCCGAATTTCGAAATTAACTCGTTTAAGGACACACGTGAAGTTGATAGGCTCAGAATATATTTCTGATCCGGTTTTTGATCTTGTTGATCATCATATTACTCTGTTCAATCTCGTTCATGTAATTTAAAAGGTAAGTATATCAAATTATTTGAAGGGAAAACTGATACTCTAGAAACAATAGATGGAACTCGATCTCGAGTTATTATAAGCACAAATCGAGCCTTTAATTGGCAATATGGATATGATTAGGGCTATTATATTGTAACCTTTTTAGAATCGACCGCCATAACAAGCCATTTATTCACCATGTAACCAGACTTCTATTGGAAGTAGCCCCCTCAAGTTGCTATCAGGTCATATCCAAAAGGTAGTTTGCCCTATACTACAACCACAATAGTTAGAACCAGGCTTTGAAACGGCTTGCATAGGGAGGATTATAAACCCGTAAACCAAGCCACTAACTTAGCGACGGGGACACAATTAGAGTCATTACAATTAATCGACAAAAATTTTCTATAACCAATATTTTGCAGGAGTGGTTCAAGGTTGGGCTGCAATCATAATGGGGTTGCTCTCAGGCAGCATTCCATGGTACACAATGATGATTCATGGGGCTCTTGGAAAGCATGCTTTCTGTTGGAAGGCAAGGCGCATACATGAATTTGACTCGCTCGACACTTTGGTAGTTCAGTTGGGAGCGCTCTTAGACCTTGGCCAGTTTGGAGCACAACCTGCGGTTTACTTGGTCTGTGTGAAAAGGGGCTGGATCGTAGACTTCAAGATTAGTCGTTGTAAGGCGGACCCCTGAGTATCAAAAAAAAAAAAGATCTAGAGATGAAAGTGCTATAAGAATCAAATTATTGAATGTTCCATCTATGTTATTTACTAAAATCTATCCTACTGTGTTATTTCCATAACTTTCAAGCATCCCACCTCTATAAAATTAGTTTGATACATACACAAGTTTCAACATATCAATTCATATTCGTTAACAATATTAAATTGTACTCGACAATACACAGAACAAAATTTTAAATTGTACAGTACAATCTAATATTTCTTACTAACATACAACAAGTTTCTCTAGCAGTGCAAGGGTATGTGGTCTTGTTCTAACTCAAGGGGGCACTAATCCTTTGTTTAATTGATGACTACTATTTTTCACTGTTGAACTAAGAGTGCCTGAACTTGTGCATTTTTATGTCCTGAATTCTTTAAAGCTGTCCATCCTTTGTAGTGAAGGGATGCCAATTTCTATCCCCTTATTGGGACCTTTGCCAGATGATAAAGCAATGTGATTTCGTTATGGATTTTTCTAGTTGTACTATTAGGATTGACAATCCCATTTGACGTCTTCACAGGAAAGGGGCCACGATCTTTTTATTCATTGTGGCCCCCCTTCTATATGTGTGGTTGTCTAACAAATCCTGATTGTACATGTAGCACTTTCCTCTCATTATTGGTCATTGGCAGCTTTATTTGGGAAATAGTTTTGAATTGATCTACTTTGAGCTCAATTTTATGTGGGACCCGAATTTCGAAATTAACTCGTTTAAGGACACACGTGAAGTTGATAGGCTCAGAATATATTTCTGATCCGGTTTTTGATCTTGTTGATCATCATATTACTCTGTTCAATCTCGTTCATGTAATTTAAAAGGTAAGTATATCAAATTATTTGAAGGGAAAACTGATACTCTAGAAACAATAGATGGAACTCGATCTCGAGTTATTATAAGCACAAATCGAGCCTTTAATTGGCAATATGGATATGATTAGGGCTATTATATTGTAACCTTTTTAGAATCGACCGCCATAACAAGCCATTTATTCACCATGTAACCAGACTTCTATTGGAAGTAGCCCCCTCAAGTTGCTATCAGGTCATATCCAAAAGGTAGTTTGCCCTATACTACAACCACAATAGTTAGAACCAGGCTTTGAAACGGCTTGCATAGGGAGGATTATAAACCCGTAAACCAAGCCACTAACTTAGCGACGGGGACACAATTAGAGTCATTACAATTAATCGACAAAAATTTTCTATAACCAATATTTTGCAGGAGTGGTTCAAGGTTGGGCTGCAATCATAATGGGGTTGCTCTCAGGCAGCATTCCATGGTACACAATGATGATTCATGGGGCTCTTGGAAAGCATGCTTTCTGTTGGAAGGCAAGGCGCATACATGAATTTGACTCGCTCGACACTTTGGTAGTTCAGTTGGGAGCGCTCTTAGACCTTGGCCAGTTTGGAGCACAACCTGCGGTTTACTTGGTCTGTGTGAAAAGGGGCTGGATCGTAGACTTCAAGATTAGTCGTTGTAAGGCGGACCCCTGAGTATCAAAAAAAAAAAAGATCTAGAGATGAAAGTGCTATAAGAATCAAATTATTGAATGTTCCATCTATGTTATTTACTAAAATCTATCCTACTGTGTTATTTCCATAACTTTCAAGCATCCCACCTCTATAAAATTAGTTTGATACATACACAAGTTTCAACATATCAATTCATATTCGTTAACAATATTAAATTGTACTCGACAATACACAGAACAAAATTTTAAATTGTACAGTACAATCTAATATTTCTTACTAACATACAACAAGTTTCTCTAGCAGTGCAAGGGTATGTGGTCTTGTTCTAACTCAAGGGGGCACTAATCCTTTGTTTAATTGATGACTACTATTTTTCACTGTTGAACTAAGAGTGCCTGAACTTGTGCATTTTTATGTCCTGAATTCTTTAAAGCTGTCCATCCTTTGTAGTGAAGGGATGCCAATTTCTATCCCCTTATTGGGACCTTTGCCAGATGATAAAGCAATGTGATTTCGTTATGGATTTTTCTAGTTGTACTATTAGGATTGACAATCCCATTTGACGTCTTCACAGGAAAGGGGCCACGATCTTTTTATTCATTGTGGCCCCCCTTCTATATGTGTGGTTGTCTAACAAATCCTGATTGTACATGTAGCACTTTCCTCTCATTATTGGTCATTGGCAGCTTTATTTGGGGGACAAGGTAGGGGTAGTCATACGATATTGTATAAATAATAAACAATCATAGTAACATTCAGGGGAGGAATTAGGGTGATAAAACTAATTTTTCTATCAGTATAAATAGGGAAAAAATTAGTTATAAATGAGCTTGGGAGAGCACTGGGCTCCATCATTCATCCAATGGACAAAAAATTATCAACAATTCTAATATTGTCGAAAATATTGACCTACCCGAGGATTTGGAATGGGCCACGCTCCCCATTCTACTACTATGATGCTCAAGCATCCATAAAGCTTGGGATATTTTTATGCCCGAGCCATGCCATTCCGTATTGACAACATTAGGTGGAATCATCCTCGGGTTACATCCTCGGGCCTATTACCGCACCATATCATTGATGTCCTCAAGCAATTCGCTACGTCTCATGCACTTTCACGCTTAACTTTGGAGGAGTCCAACTTTTAAAGGACTCTAACTTGCCTCAAACTTCTTAACCTAGGACTTTTATACCAAGTAGAATTCTATTTTAGCGATATTATCATGACGCGTGTTCAACACCCACGCCAAGTGGGACTCTTTCGGATAAGAACATCCAATTAACCTAATCCTACAAGGAAAGCACCACTCATCCTTAAAAATACGAGCCTCCACCCCATTATTCAAGTACGGTTTTTCATTATTTCCAGTTTATAACCTCACGCACAAATTCCCTTTCTGATTTAAGTATTGGAAGAGCGACGATAACACACCTCGTTACCTTTGTTTCAGGTATCGGAAGACTACGATCGTGCTCATTCGAAGTCCTCAAGTTCAGGAACTCAATAGGTACAATTTTTGGTAGCATCAAATTCAATTTTAGATGAGCTAGCTAGTATCTGTTTTTTGTGTGTGGGAACGATTTCACTAATGAGATATAAGCTAACCTTAATTCTTGAGCCCATTAGTACTAGACGATCACTTTAATGGATCAAGTACAATATATGCCAGCCCAAGAACCCTGCTTAATGGGCCAAATATCGTAACCAGATTGGGCTTAGTGGGCCTAAAATTATTGGATTTTACATAGAAAACAAGAAGTACCATCATATAGCTGAACCGGGTCGGGTTCAAATTTCAGAATACTGGCTACAATATGAAACAGAAGACACCATTGGATTCTAAACCGGCAATCTTCGTGCGCTGTAAAAAAAAAAATTTAGGTAAACTATGTATTGTTTTATTTTCTTCTTACATCAATTTTATTCAAATGTTATTTTTTCGATTCTTATATATTTTTTGAATTATGCTACATTGACAGAATATTTTGCCCACTTTCTTGATAGAATACCACAAATTGAAATGTGTTTGGAGAAATATGAATAAAAAGATAATCTTTACCACACAGTGGCATATCAACACCTTGCATTAATGGATGTATTGAAGGTAGCCATTTGTATGCTTGTAATTTTGTATATATAAATATATTATCCCTCAACTAAGATTATTACACCTGAAATTTTCTTAATTAACCCCGAATTTATTGGGAATGAGACTTAGTGTGTTGTGCTATTTGTTTAAGAGATCCACCAAATGCTGCACTAATGAGCCTTAATCTGTTGGTGTGAGTGCTTCACTCTCTTAATATGATAGAAAAGACAGCAGAATAATATTAATTTGGTCACTTGTGAGCTTATGTGAAGTGGGAGACACTTGGTAGGTCCACCCCTGCTGTCCTTAAAACCTACAACAAATCTCTGAGTCAAAGCACTTTTCCAAGCAAGAAAACCTTATTGGCTCGGTCATTAGGGTAAATTATTATGTCTTATAGGTGTCATTTTAGTCTTAGAACCATCAAACATATTAAAATCTACTAGCATATCCATTCAATTTTGATTTATGAATATCATCATTTTGTTTTCAGAATTGATGATACTGACTGTAAATTTCATCGTACTTATTGATCCTTCTATCGAAAATTGACTTAAATAATGCCAGCAAGATCATCCTGTCATATTATATATCTAGTGTCTAGAACCTTTTCTTTTTATTTAAATGGCATAATAAGTTAAGGTTTATTGATTTGATTCGATAAGCTGTAAATCGACTGTGCTCTGCAATCGTCTTTTCTACTGAGAAACAAATTTTGTGGGGGTGCTGAAATTCCTTTGTTTATAAAGTCTTAAAGAACCATTTAGTAAAGATGGCAACTTATATATCTTAATAGAGCTAACAATGCAAGCATTGCTTTCATGATCTCATATGACGCCGATCACACCCTCGTCTAATTTTTTATAGCAAACACTGTTGAATTGGTGTTTTTTGTTTTGTTATTAATAACATAGTTTTTCTTGTAACTGAGTAATTGAAAGATCTCTTTAAATATAAATGAAATTGTCCAGCTATCTTGAGAGATGTAGCAGCTTTTCTTGTATTCAGGACTCTTAACTAATGTCTCACTTACAATTGAAAATAGTGTAAAAATATTTTTGTTGAAACACTTGATCTAAAAGTTTAAGTAGTTAGAGAGATTACGTGTAAGTAAATTAAATCTTTTCTTCAACACGCTTCCTCATGCAGGGTTCTTTTTTTTCTCATCAAGACCTTGCGCCTCTGTTTGATTCCCATCGTTTTAGAACTCTTCTTTTACGGGATTATTTTTAACAACAAATTCACACAGTAGAATATTCTGCACGTAAACTCGAAAGTTTTCCTTACTTTTTAACCACGCATTCTCGCAAAAAATACTATTCGAAACTCTTTAAAATGGAAGTAATGTCCACCAAACAAGGGCTACATGTGCACAATTTCATTAAATTGGTGACAGCAAGACTCAAATTAAGGATCATCTAAAAGTTGAAGTTGTTAGAAATAACTATATATGTATCATTTCAATCTTGTCTTCAACATAATATTTAATCACTAGATGAGAACTTCAAAATTGGTATCATGCTTTTTCTATCTGGTGCTTGATGGCTAATGGAATATCCTGGCATTAGGAAGCCTCTCATAATAATCAATTCATAGTATTTTGCTGTGTAATTTATAATTTTCAATTTTTTGTCATGAAAGAGTTGTATGATAAATCAGCTGGAAATATCTTACTGGGATATATCTGACAGATTATTATGATCAGAGAAGGATCTGATTGAATTAGAATATAATTGCCTTCCTCTTATACTCTCTGAGTCCTTTCTTCCTCATCTCATTGTTCATATTATTTTTCTTTACTTTTCTTGTTCTTTTTGAACAGCTACACCCTACGAGCTGGTGCAGTTTTTCTGGTGCCTTTGGGTTGCCTTGCCTGCACGAATGACATAGAGGAGCATAAGCATAATATTCCCATCACCTTTATTCATATTTGTTTATGAAACATGGCAGGCAATGTTGTTATCATTTAGCTAATTATAATAGACCAGCTATACTTGAGCTAAATTTCATTATTCTAAATGAAACAATTCTGCTATGCATTTCAAAATTAATAGAATGTGATGATAGATTAAATTTTAAATAATTACATTGTTTGTAACATGGTTGTGTGAAGGCTGGATCGCTGCTTGGTGGTGGAGGTTGCTGACCAAATATCATCTCACAGCTCATATCTTCAAAATCTGCAAACAGAAAGGTTTTTTTTCTGTTCCTATAAAACTCAAATATCAACTGAGGCATTAAGTTTGCAGAACTGTTGGACTGTAACTTATATGTTTTGCCTTAGTATTATTATTTATTAATTTTTGCAGATACTAGAGCCTAACAGACTTCTAACATTTTCTTTACACATCCTTGGAATAGGCCATGGAAGGATGATAAGCTCAGACATGACCATTTTTAAATAAAAAATGGTGCCTTTGCTGGTTTGTCTCGAGATTTTGTCCCCTTTTCCTTTTTGGGGACAAGCTTTATAATATAAAGAATTGAGTTATATATTTAGCCGTAATGCATTACATGGTGGAAATTTCAAATAAGCTATGATGGGCTATTTTCTGCATTAAGTAGGCTTATGGATGGGACCCTCCATTTAATGGGTTTTGATATTTGTACAAATTACACCCCCTTACAACAGGGGGCTGCGTCAATAAAAAAAGGCAGGGGGCTGTCAGTCACCATGTAAACTATGCTATAGCTCTAGCGTGGTTCTTTTTGGACAATGCTATTTGTACACTTTTTGTGTACATGATTGTTTACACCCCTCACATAGAGGGGGGTCGCATATAATTTATTATGCGTGGGCTTACACCAAAAGTGTACAAATAGAGAGTAATCCTCCTTCTTCGCCTTTGTCCTTCCATGTCTTCAATCGGAAAAACTATTTTTCTATGGAAAAATTAAGGCTTGATTGATATATGTTCTAATTTATATGTACATAAATGTGAATATTGAACTTAGTCTAGGTCTTTAAGAAGTTGATAGCAAGGGCTCTGCTCCCCTAGCTTTCGTTTCTTGGTGTCAGTATCGGGCCTTTTTTGAGAAAGAAAAAGGGGAAGGTCTCTCCCCCTGATCGAGATTGTATGAATGAAGGATTACTTTACAAGCAAGTCGAAAGATACTTACTGGGCACCATGGTGGAAGGCATACCCAGTGACTCTTGAATGAACGCTTGAGATGGCATCTTGCATAGGTTAGTGCACATTCCTACACAATTGGTCTCCTCCAAAAACCTGTAGAAAATTATTGGGAACAAAATGAGAGGATCACAATGAAGATGTTGTTAAGACTAGAAAAGAAAAGGACAATAATAATTAATTAAGATTTTGTTATGATGACGCTAGAGAAAGAGAGCACGAGGGACAACCATAGCTACGGAAATAGATTATTTTTGTAGCTTGAAGCTGTTTCAATTAGGTATGTAGTTTCTCATTGGAAAAATTATGGTTTATTTATTTTGAAAGTAAAAGGTACCTGCATTTCTTTATATGGACGACATTTTTCTCTTTTGCTCCCTCGAACTCCGACTCTTTCACCTTGTGTCAAGAGAAAGAGGACATATATTACTTCCACTGCTTGACCATTGCGCAAACTGTGGTATGTGTGTGATCATTTGTACTTTCTTTAATCGCACGTTTGCTACACAGAATTGGCATTATCTTTTTTGTTAAAGGTTGAACCCCAACCTTAAAGGCCCCCACCGACCCTGCCCTGGGCCGCATTATCTTTTTTGTTGCTAATACTGCATATGGTAGAATTGGTAATTGGTACATCGAACTGAAGAGGATTGATACCTCTTTCTCTTAATAATATTTTTTCATGTTCAATTCAACGTACCAAATATGTCAATAACATCTCTCTTTTGGTTGCATTCTTTTCTTAATAATTCCAAAATACACAATTTTCAACGCACCTCACAAGGACCGACAAGCCAAGCAAAGAAAATCGTTGTGAAGACGGCGAAAAATTCCCTTGTAAGTCTAGATTGTGGCATCAGGGTCCTAATCTGTAGTTAAATGCGAACACAAACACTAATCAAGTCCTGTATATAATTGCATTATTTGAATGTTTAACATGATTTTATTTTTTTCGAATATTTGTATTGAGAAGCTTGTTATTGTTATTTTTCGAGACCGAACAAATTCAATTTATGATGAGGAACTAGAATGTAAATAGTTTCCCTATCTATATTTGACATTCTATTAGAAACTTATAAAAAATTTCATTTTCACTATATTGCAGTCCTTATTCTCTTGTGCATCATCATGATGTCAGCTGTGATAATTTACTAAAAAAAATCCTAAAAAGAACGTGTCATCTACCATCATTATATTTAGGATTTATGATGCATTAATATAGTTTGAGGCAAATACCATACAAATTAAAATTCTAATTAACATCTATGTGACTTAAATTAGCATGAAGTTGATTTTGGTTAGAATCATTATAAAAATAATTAAAATTATTCAATTAAGCTCTTATTTGAGTCTCATTCTCTAAAAATTATATTTCTCCAAATTCATTTCAATCGCATATTCCCTAAAAAAAAATAGTTTTACATGTAAATTCAAACGTTTTCCCACTTTCAACCATAGATTCTTTAAAAAAAAAAAAATCACTATTAAAATAGGGTTCAAACAAAGCCTAATTATTGATGTAGTCGAGCAAATTATCGTTTCACAACTAATAAACTAGATTTAAATGTGTTTTAGACGGAAAAATGAAATTAAATTTAAAGCTTAACTCTTTTCAGAAATCAGAAAATAAAATGAAACACAATTAGCGTCTAAAATTTTATATTGCATTTAACAGTTGCTTGCACGAAATAAACATCAATTGCATGCATGTTTAGCTCAATTCTCCTCTTACCATATAACTTCTTCATTCATGCGCATGACAAAAATGGTACTAACAAAAAATCTTTAGTATATGGCTCAAATGTCAAAACTTTTGAAAAGTTATTTCTACTATTAAGAAATTATATTTGAATTATTTTATAAAAAAGTGCTTTATTTGATTAGAAAAGCTATTAGAACAAGCAGAAGTTATGACAAAAGAATACTTTCAGACAAAAATTGCTATTTTCCTATTTGGTGGGATTAAAATTATATTTTTTTAAAGGTTTTGATAAAAGTTGATGAATTGTATGGTTAAATTTGTGGATCTAATAAAATATATGATTAAAATTAATTGTTTACTTTGACCTAGATTAAAGTTTAGATTTTAATTTCCACCAAACAGGGCTATATAAGTATAGCATTTTTTAAAATTCCTGTCTTCTTGCCTATTTTTTTATTTTTAATTTTAATTTCTTCAGCCAATCAATTTTTAGAAAATTAATATATAGAGCAATTATGATAAAGATGATCAAATATATCGATAAAATGAACTTGCCATGTTAAGTATAGGCCTAGGGAAGGCCATATCAAGTGTTTGATTAACAATTTTCTGCTGCTCAGTTGGACTAAACAACTTTGTCGCCATTGTTGCAGCTTCCACAAAGCCATCATATCCCCCCTTGCTGCTCCTAAATCCTGCGTGTGTATGTGTGAGAGAGATCGAGACAGATATGTATATATATATATATATATATATATATATATAAATAGGATATATAGTCCCTGATTGAGCCTTAATTTCTAAAAATTTACTTTTTTTCAAAATCGTTTACATCCAAACACTTTTTTAATAAAATAATTTACATGTAAACTCAAAACATTTGTCTACTTTTTAACCATATTTTCAAACATTCACTACTACAAAACTCTTTATTTATTTATTTTTTTATTATTATTATTATTAATTTTTTTTTAAACATAAAAATGGAGCTCAAACATAGCCATGTTTTTCTATGCTGTAAATTCATTGTTGGATATATTTTTTTAAAACGATATAAACCAGCTCAAACAAGAAAATTTGATTTGTAGTTGAGATGGTTTTTAACTGTTTATCAAATGAAGCGATTAACACAAAGAAATGTTGAAAATGACTTCAAAATTTAACTGTTTATCAAATGAAAAAGAGAGAGAGAGAGAGAGAGAGAGAGAGAGAGAGAGAGAGAGAGAGAGAACCTGTTGAAGCTTGTAAGTTTTTTGAGATGTGATTAATGGCAAGAAGATCAAACCAGTTATCCTTGTAAACTTTCTTGGAGTCAAGAGTTGATGTCTCTGTATTCATTTTTGGTTTTGTAAGAACACAGGTAATAAAGGGATAATGTCTAAGCTTCTGAATGTCTCTCCGGTCGACTCGCGCTGATACAGGGCTTATGCACTGGTGAACAAGCGACGCAACCATGTTGGCACTTTGGAGTAAAGAGAAAGATACAATTTGGGAAGTACACAATCGATAAGTGTTAAGAAGATATTTGGGTTAGAACTTAGAAGAAGAGAACAGAAGGATAAGAGCATATAAAGAAGACTTTGCAGCTATACTGATTCTTGGAAAGAATTGGAATTTTCAGCACATTTATTTTTTTCCTTTTTTTTAACAATGCTTGTTAGTATTTCGACGAAGTCTATGCAACTTGCTTATATTTTCAGGTTCGGACCAAAGATGCTTTTTTGTTTGATAGCACTTTTGGCACAACATAAATAGTTACAGCTCTACGGAAAAATTTGGTTGAATAAAAAATTGGTGAAAAATTAATTTTGATTTATTCAATTGACAAAGCATAACAAGCAGTGCCGAACATTAATTAAAATAAAACGTAAAATTCTCATAATATTCAAGTCCTTATTTAAATGCTTGCTTAGGTGAGTTTGTTTATAACAATGTACTTGTTCGGTTATCCTCAAATAATAAAATACACATGTCATTTTTTAACAAGTACTCAACCATTTTTATTTCCATAATAGTGTTTTGTGCAGAATAAATTCCACTACATATTACAAAACAAATACATCATGACAAATTATTGAGCTAAGGCTATTTTGTTGGAGATAATAAATTATATTTTTTTGTTTTGTTTTTGCAAAGTTTAAAGAACTACCTAAAAGTTTAAGGTAAACCAGACCTTGTAATTTTCTTCATGAACCAAATTAGTGTATGTAGTATAAAAGTATGAATCGTATAATTTCCAATGTTTAACACTTGTATTGTGTTTCACGAAGGCGCACAAACAGGGAAAACTTGCTAATGCAAGGTTGCAGCAGGGAGACTGAACCATCGCTCATTACAGTTTTGAAGAGCATTTGTCTCACTCACGGTGCAGAATGTCAAGAACGTGCATGATAATGAGCGATTAGTCAATTTTGGGGAGGCTACAGAATGCCACTTAGTACTTCGTGTGGAGTGAAAGTGAAAATAAAGTCGCCTAGAGTTGGAGACACAGACGGGAGAATTATTCCCTATGTACAGGGAATAATCTCACAGGAATTCCACAGGGCACTCACATGGGGTGGGCCCCATGTGAATATTTTATTTCGATGGACACCATTGTTGTGTGTATTCTGTAATGCATATGTATACATTTCCCCTGTATGTGTAGAATGCTCCCAGACGGGAACTTCATGATAATTCAATGGTACGAGAATAGCCATACAATGAAACATTGTAACACTAGCTTTAAAGTTAAATGGAAATAACTACATCAAAACATAGCTACCAGTTCAATTAGGTGATCTAAAATGTAAATTTTCAACCTGCATAAGTTCCTACCACACTTACCTAAGAACAAGAGAAATAAACACAATCACAAAATAAACAAGTTCGTCAGTTCAACAGCAGTAAGCAAAACACATTTACTCATTCCTTGGTGGTTTTGTTGATGAGGGATTTGTGGATGTGAGGAATCACGCCACCACCAGCAATGGTTCCTTTGATAAGGGTGTCCAGCTCCTCATCCCCTCGAATGGCCAGCTGCAAATGCCGTGGTGTTATTCTCTTAACTTTCAAGTCTTTGCTCGCATTTCCAGCTAACTCAAGAACTTCTGCTGTCAAATATTCAAGAATTGCAGCAGAATAAACAGCAGCTGTGGCTCCAACTCTCCCATGGGCATTAGTTCTTGACTTTAGGTGACGATGAATTCGACCAACTGGAAACTAGACTCCAATAAACAAAACCAAATGCATTGGTTAAAAATTAAAATTAAGCCCCTATTTGGCTTGGCAAAAAAAAAAAACGGATTCTTAGTAGATTTTGATAAAAATTGATAAAATGTATAATTTGAAATCAATCCCACAAGCCTCTTATCCATTCTCATTGAATCGTGACGGGGGAGCAAATCCAAATGAAAGAACTCACATTGGTTTAAGGATAATCGGGCTCGAACTGATGACTTGATGAAAACTGTGGGTCCCAGGTAGAAAATGAGTTTGAGGATAAATTAATTTCAGAAAATGGGGGACCAAACAGGGGATAAAACACAGAAAAAAGATTTATCACTGGGCAACAAGTATGTCAGTTCTACGTCATGCGACAGGAATGTGAGAAAGAAACAATCAAATTAACCTAATAATCAGGCCAAACATTTAACCTCCATGGACAAAACTCTAAATCTAGCTCAGACAACAATAATTACTTTATAAACTTTTGCAAAAACTTTGTGTTGGATCAGCAATGTTACAGCGGCTAAGGGCTTGACATCCACAGTCACCCACGTGTATGCAGAAACCCAAGATCCAGAGCACAAATGACTGCATTGCTAGTTTCCATTAGCATCATAAACTAGATCAAAAGTTCAGAGAGGGCTGGCATTCACTGGTATTAATTATCTCTATCGTTTCAAGATACACGACTGAATAGGGCACTAAGATGGATAAGATTTTAACTTATAGTTCATTCTTAATATCATCTAGAACAACCCAATGTACCGTGACAAACATGCAATTAACCAAGAATTCGCAAATTCAACTACGGCCTTTGTATTCATCACATTGAGAAATTAAGCAAACCATGATTTTCTTCAATTGCAACGGGTCTTACTGATTATATAAGAATTGACATTGTCATTCTCGTTTTGAAAGAATCACTTACTCAGGCAAACAATTCAAATTTCAAGTTTTAGCTTTTAGCCCACAAAGGATTAAGATTAGTCTCATTAACTAGAAAATTATGCTTTCTCGACGTCTCATTTCAAGAACAAGTACAGTGGCACGTAAGTAAAACTCAACATTACTTAATTTAATCCAACAGATCTAACGGGCGGCAAATAAATTTTACCTGAAGACCAGCACGGGCTGAACGAGAAGTCGGCGCCTTTTTCTTGTCCTTGTCTTTGTTCGCCGCAGCTGCGGTCGTCTTTCCGGCCAAAAGCCCTTTGCCACCTTTTCCAGCCATTTCCCTCACCTTAACTTCGATCGTCAACAAAGAAATTACAAGTTAACAATTCCATACCTAGCCAAGAAATTAAACAACGCAAATACAACATCTGTACTTGTAAAAAAGTAGTAATTTTTTTTTCAATCTCCATTCTATTTAGATCTTTTTTCTAATATCATTGTTTAATTAAGACGTAGGAAAGAAATAAGAAAATATTTCCTTAAATCCGAATAGATCTAACAAACTTAAAAAAAAAAACGGCCACAAAATTACCCAAAAAAAAAAAGGGAAAACTATCAAAATAGACGAACCGCATTACGACTTTTACCTACTACACTAAACCTCATGAACAAAAACTAAACAAACCATAGAGGATAAAAATTAGATATACCTTCAAAAGCAATTGAGGAGATGAGCACAAAGCAAAATGTGTGTGTGTTAGGTGAGTAATTTTTATTTCTTTTGTTGACTTTTTCGAATCCGTGGAGTGATTTTGGCGGTTGCGTTTTGGGTGGAAAAATAATTTGGGGATTCCGAAAATTTCAACAATGTTTCGACAGAATTGCCCCTGCCTTTGAATAAAAGCATAATCGGGTCGGGTGTGACCTAGTAACGGGTAATTTTTATCGGGCCTCTCTATATCCAGTTCAAGTATTGGGCCCAGACTCGTTACAGACGTGTCATGTGTCATGGGAAACTAAAGAACAACAAGTTGTAGTACCCTTTTGTCACGGAATTTAAATTGAGTCAAATACTAATTTTATTCGGTTGATAAAAACGTCAATACCGTGACTAATTTTTGAGACATAATCATATCGTTATGCTAAAAGTCAATCGACAAATTGAAATATTGGGGTCGAAATAAATTATCTTCGAAGTTTAATTATTTATTGTAGGATATTTTTTATCGAACATACGAATTTTTGAGTTCTAATTGATTCATAGAAAACATAGGAAATTAAACGCTTAATATAAAAAAAAAAAATGACAATTTTTAGCAAGAAGATAAATATTTAAGGAACATTTTAGATCTGTATAGAGCCACTATTCTTCTCTTCAGAATTCCTTGGATGAATCACCCTTATTTATGTGAATGATACCATTGAAATTGGACTTGGGTTGACCGTTGGTGTCGAGTCACATAAATTTGGTGCTCGAACCTATGGGCATGCACGAATATAGGCCAAGAATCCGTGACAGAATTCCACCATGGTTCTATGATAAGGTAAACTGCATCATACTATATGATACTTGATAGTGACATTCCCTGCGTATCTCGACCACTTTCATCCCGACCATTTGTGAGGGCATTTCTTACGATTTCCGGTCATTAGTGCTCAGGATTCATTAGGTCCTCGAGATATCCTATGCCCAACCTTGTTAATTGTCACAGGATGCTGAAATTCCTCGGGAATAATACCTCGGGAAAATCCCTTGAGATCCTCAACTACCATCTTCCTCATACTAAGGAAAAGGTTCATCCCCTAATAACTCTTATCTGACACGAATACTTCAAACCACATCTCCTAAGTCCAAGAGAGTCCTCTTAACAATTGGTCTTCTAATCACAGTAGGATCCAAACACTGCTTTCTCATGGGACTATCGAATAAGGATACCCAGATAGTTGAATCTTATCAGGAAGCACCATGCACCTCTATAAATACAGAACCTTGAGCCATTATTAAGGTACATTCTCATTATTTTCAGTTTATAGTCTCACGCACATAATTCAGTTTCTGACTTAAGCATTGGAGGAGCGACGAGAACATACCTCGTTGCCTTTATTTCAGGTACCGAAAGACTACGATCATACTCATCCAAAATCCTTAAGTTCGAAAAATCAACAGGTACGATTTTTGGTAGTATTATTGGCGCCGTCTGTGGGAAGCGCTACTAAAAGCCGTGGTTAACACGCGATCAGGTCTTCCTCCCGCAAGCTCATCCGCTCTCATCCCTCATCCTGCTGAAGATCAACCAGCTCCTTAAGAAGAGTCATCTGGAGTGCCCGCACCTCTGCCGGCGATCGTCACAACCGAAGCCTTTGAAGAGCTCCGTCAGTAAGTGGCCACACTCACGCAACTGTTAAGTCAAAGAAATTCAACCCAAAGGACGACAGATGAGAAAAGACAAAGTTAGTATCTGAAAAATTGATACTTCACCCGAGACCAATGAAAGGAGAACTTGACACAGTGCTATAAGGAACAAAGCAACCTCAGTCAGCTGACCTTCTATTTTTGAGATTAGAGCAGAAGAACTCCATAACGATGGAGAAGGGTTTCTTTTTTTTTTATTAATAATTAAATTATTAATATGAAAACGAGGGGAAATAAAAGAAGACTCACTCTCCACCTCCCGAAGGTCTAGTCTAGAAAAAACTCGAATTTTGTTGGGTTAGCTTAGTTGACTATCAAAGTGTCCTTCAAATCCCCACACTTAGGTTTTACGTCATAGATAGTATAAGCCCCGACTCTTAATGGATCGGAATGCTACTTACTTTACTCAACTTAAGCGATGGTTTAGTAATAAGTGTATACGTTTTAGCGGAAGCTTACATCTTCGGATAATAATTTAAATAACAATATTTCAAATACTTTAAACAAAAACACTGAATCATTTTTCAAAACAACAAAATGTAATTTATTTGAAGAAAACATAACTTGTTCTCGCATTCTACATTATTCAAAACTTTAAAGAAATAACATTGGAAAACATTTTATAAAAATAAATTCAAATCACTTATTCACCGGATTTCCATGGGCTCGTTGCATCACTCTCCATCTTCTCCTCCATCCATGCTCGAGGTAGAATTCCTTCAATCTGTAGAGATGAGATTAAACCCGTGAGTTGAAAAATTTAATAGGTGTCATAGGTGTATTCGTAATCAAGCTATACATTTCAAAACATTAATTTTATAACTTTTCATACATGCCGTACCCGGAGGCACCATTTGACATGAAGGGGTATGCCGTACCCGATGGCACCATTTGACATACGAACATTTCTTCAACATAGAGGGGTATGCCGTACAGGAGTACCATTTGACATACAACCATTAACATAGAGAGATATGCTATACCGGAGTACCATTTGACATACAAACATTAACATGAATCGAAACTTATAACTTAACACAATTAAACACATTACACCTCTACCTACCTTGATTAATGCTTTTGAAATTTTAAAAACTTGGATTGAAAATTTCGATGAAACTTGGATGTTGAAAGAAATGCACTCTTTGGATGTTTGAAAACCGTTGAGAATTGATACTTGAAAACACTTCTTAAACTTCTAGAAAAAATAGCTTTCCTCCCTGTCTTTTTCTCTCTTGGAAACTCTTTCTTTAGTATGTAAAAACTTTTGTTTTTGGTGTGAGACAAAATGAGTGAAATGATGTCTCTATTTATAAGTAAATATCCAATAACTTAAAGCAAATGAAGGGTCAAATTTCATTTAAGAGAGAAAACATAGGTGTCATTTAAGTTTGAGGTTAAATGCTTCAATTTAGTAGGGGGTTTTTATTGCCAAAAACGTGGGTGGCCCTTTGAGAAAATAATTGATGAAAATAAATATTTAAATTCTAGAGAAAAACGAGAATTTTCATTTCAGGCAGCTTCGGTCGACCGGTTGTAGTCCGATTGACACTGCACAGCTTTCAGTGTTTCTAACATAACTTCTTCTTCCAATATCCGATTTAGGTAATTCAAAGTGCGTTGGAAAAGTAACTCAAAGAGCTACAACTTTTATTTAGATATCATTTTCCAAATCGAATGTTTCCTATGTCGAAAATGGGTCTCAAGTGAGACTAAAAATCTGAAGTATACTTTAATCATCCAATATTCTTGTCGTAGTGCCACTAAGGTGTCTCGAATTATTTGGGGTTCTATAGATAGAAGACTCCGCGATTAGACTAGGGCTATTATTCGCTTGAATCCCTACATCCACAGCTTTGGTGAAAAGAATTCCTGTCTTTAGAAGTCAATCCCACTAAACTACACTTGTACGCGCATCCATCACAAGCGCAGGCAGAGCATGGTGGTTTTATGGTTGATGCTCAAGCCCGACCACCAAACCCCACAACTGGCGGAGTAGGAATCTCGGGCATTCACAATATGGCCTCGCACTCGAGATCGGTCGTCATAGATTCCGGAGAGATTGCCCGAATCATTCAAGAAGGAATTACAGCTGGTCTGCAACGAAATGCTCAGGGGCCAACGGGTTTTACCCCTAACACTCCATTCACGCCGAAGATACTGTCATATCCCCTGCCCAACAGATTCAAATATCCTCGCATTAAAGAGTATGATGGGACGACCGACCCAATCAACCATCTCAATATATATACCGATATCATGAATTCGCAAGTTGCGCCGGATCATGTTATGTGAAAAGCTTTCCCGCAAACGCTGACTAATGCTGCTAGAGATTGGTTCTCAACATTGGAGCCCAACTCCATAGCCTCATTCTCAAATTTGGCTGATAAGTTCTCAGCCTTCTTTGCAAGTAGCAAGTGAATCAGAAAGACTGTGGCCTCTCTCATGCAACTTCGCCAGGGACCAAGTGAAACCCTACGAGGATTTATGACGAGGTTTAACAAAGAAAGGCTTCAAATACCCGACCTTCACATCACAGCGGCTGTCTCCGCCCTCACTTGCACCATAAGACGTGAAGCTTTCAAGATGTCCTTATCAAAGACCCCATCGTAGACAGTGACCGAGCTCTTCACCCGAGCTGAAAAATATATTAATATGGAGGAAACACTAAATCCAACGAGACATGATCCTTCCCATGAAAAGGTCGAGAAAATGAAGCAACATGATCCCGTTTCCCGATCAGAGTATCCTCGGGAAAAACGCAAGAATAAAGGTCGACCAGGGCCCCTCACCCGATTAAACAACTTCAAGGCAAATATCTTAATGGAAATCAAAGATATGAAAATATTAAGGCGGCCTTCAAGAATGAAGTCGCCCCCTAACACGAGAGATAAGAGCAAGTATTGTGAATTTTACCAAGATCATGGGCATATCACGGAAGATTGTCAAGCTTTGCAGCGGGAAATTGAAGCTCCCATTAAAAGAGGACTCTTAAGGAATTACATTGGTCATGATAAATGCCCGAAGAATGATCGTGACAATCGGAAAGAGCTTGGAGCCGGAAGCAGGGCTTAACCCACTATCAGGACCATTAATATTATCGTTGGAGGCATAGCATCTGGAGGAGACACAAATATTGGGCGAAAGCAATATGCCCGCCAACATGCTCATACCTCGAAGGAATCCCATGATAAACTCGAAGACATTATCTTTGGAGCAAGATATTTGGAAGGAGTATCATATTTTCATGACGATGCCTTGGTCGTCTCTGCAATTGTGGCTAACTTTAAAGTAAAGAGGATTCTGGTTGATAATGGAAGTGCAACGAACATACTCTCATAGGAGGCTTTCGCGAAAATGAAGCTCTCTCATAAACAGCTCAAAGCAATAAAAACTTCTCTATAGGGATTTGGTGGTGGAGTCATTATCCCTGAGGGCATCGTCGAGCTTTCGCTTACATTAGGTTCTGGTAATGCACAAGTGATAGAGATCACATCCGTCCAAGTGGTTAATACCCCTATGGCTTACAACATCATTCTTGTAAGGCCCCTACTGAGCAAGATCCAAGCCATTGTATCAACTTTCCACCTGGCAATGAAGTTCCCGACAAGCCATGGCATCGGAGTAGTTTGAAGAGACCAAACAACTGCCAGACAGTGCTATGTTACTAGCATCCAAGAAATGAGTACATACATCATGCAACTTTCAGACCTCGAGCTCGAGCCAAGGGGTAGACTTGCCCCGGTTGAGGAATTCGAAGTGGTAGAGCTTGAGCACGAAAAAAAGGTAACTATTGGTCGGGATCTCAAAGCCAGCCTCCGGGAGGAAGTCATCAATTGTCTGTCCCACCACATCGATGTTTTTGCATGAAAGGTTGAGGATATGCCAGGGATTGACCTTGAAGTAGCAGTCCATAGACTCAATATAAGCCTAGGGGCCAAACCTGTTAAGCAAAGGAGGAGATAGTTTGCACTGGAAAGACGTGGTTATTCAGAAAGAAGTTAGCAAACTGGTGAGAGCGGGGTTCATAAGGGAAGTCCAATACCCTGATTGGCTCGCTAATGTTGTTCTTGTGAAGAATGTCAGTGGTAAATGGAGGGTTTGCATCGACTTCATAGATCTCAATAAGGTGTGCCCTAAAGACAGCTACCCGCTACCTAGGATTGACAATCTTGTGGATAGTGCATCCTGACATAAGCTGTACAACTTCTTAGATGCATTCTCAGGATATCATCAAATCCTCATGGCCGAAGAAGACCAGGAGAAGACTTCATTCATGGCTGATTCAACCATATATTGCTATTGGGTGATGCCATTTGGGTTGAAAAATGTTGGGGCGACATATCAGAGGCTCATCAACAAAGTCTTCGTCGATTTGATAGGGAAGAACATCGAGGTCTATGTAGACGACATGGTTGTAAAGAGTAAGAAGGTATAGCAACGCATATCTGACTTGGAGGAGGTGTTTGCCACCCTACGAAAATATCGGATGAAGCTTAACCCAAAAAAATGTTTATTCGATGTATCTTCGGGAAAATTTTTAGGCTTCATGATCACTCATCAGGAGATAGAAGCTAACCTCGATAAGATCCAGGCCTTAGCAACAATGGAATCGCCTAGAACTAAGAAAGAAGTGCAAAAAATGACAAGGAGGGTAGCAAACCTGAACAGGTTCATGCCCTGAGCAGCAGACAGGTGCTTCCCTTTCTTCAAAGTTTTTAGAGGCAGCTAATCCTTTGAATGGCTTTTCAGGAGCTCAAACAGACATTTGCATCTTCTCCTATCCTCACTAAACCTGATCCCAGAGATACTTTGTTATTATACTTAGTCATATCTCAAAACGGAGTAAGCGGCGTCTTGGTAAAATAGGTCAATAGAGCCCAGCAACCCATTTACTACGTGAGTAAAGTTCTACTTGATGCGGAGACCAAGTACACTTTGGCCGAGCAACTTGCTCTTGCCCTAACAACGGCAGCACGAAAGCTTCGACAATATTTTCAGTCTCACCCCATTGTGGTGCTCACCAATCAGCCTCTGAAACACATCCTTCAAAAGTCAGACATCTCAGTGAGATTACTAAAGTGGGCAATTGAACTTAGGGAGTTTGACATAGAGTTCAAACCCCGTCTGTCCATCAAAGCCCAAGCTTTAGCGGATTTTATTACAAAACTCACACCAAATCCTCGAAGGCCAGAGGAGAGCTTGAGTACTACAACAGATGTTTGGCAAATTTTCGTGGATGGAGTATCAAACTCCTTGGGCTTAGGCACAGGGGTCATCATAACGAGCCCGAACATGCTCATGGACATTCAGTATCCACTCAAGTTCGAATTCGAGATAACCAACAATGAGGTCGAGCATGAGGCTATCATCATAGCCATGGCACTTGCCATTAATCTCGAACTTGGAAACATCAAAATCTTTAGTGATTCCCAACTGGTGGTGGGGTAGATTGATGGAACGTTTGAGAAAAAAGACGAGAAAATGAGCTTATACAGCTTAAAAGTTCATGATCTCCGACGAAAATTAAAGAAGTGTGAAATTGTGAAGATTGCCCTGGATGACAACTGCAAGGTGGATGCCTTATCAAGGCTGGTATTCATGGGAGTAGATGGACTTGACAGAACAGTACATGTCAGATTTGTGACTGAACCTAGCATCAATTCAATCGTTAGGGTCATGGACATTGATCACGAGTCATCATGGATGGACCCAATTGTAGACTTCATAACAAATGACAATCTTTTAAAAGACCCTCGGGCATCAAGGAGTGTCCGGTCAAAAGTTCCAAGATATTGCATTATTGATGGGGTCTTGTTTCGCAAAAGCCTTACACTTCTGTACCTTAGGTGCCTTAAGCCTTCGGAATCCTTCCAAACCCTAGAGGAAGTTCATGAAGGGATATACAAGAACCGTCAAAAAGCTCGGGCAATAGCCTTCAAACTTATAAGGTACGGGTACTACTGGCCTACCATAAAGAAGGATGCCGTGGAATATGTGAAGAAATGTGATAAGTGCCAGAGGTTTGGCAACGTTATCCGTTCTCCCTCAGAGGACCTTACCAACATCTGCTACTCAGCCCCGTTTGAGTAATGGGGGATCAATATCCTCGGCCCGTTTCCAATAACTAGAGGACAATTGAAGTTTGTAGTGGTAGTAGTGGAGTACTTTACAAAGTGGGTTGAGGCCGAGCCCTTGGCAACAATCTCAGAGCCTAAGATAAGAGTTTTTGTTTGGAAGTTCATCATATGCAGGTTTGGGATACCAAAGGTCCTCATAACTGATAATGGACAGCAATTTGACAATATACAATTCAAGGATTTCTGTTCCAACCTAGGGGTTGACCACCGCCTGACGTCAATTTCTCATCCCCAAAGTAATGGCCTAGCCGAGGTCACCAATCGGATCATATTGCAAGACCTTCGAACAAGGACAGGAGATGCAAGAGGTTCTTGGTCCCACGAATTGCTTTCCATACTATGGACATATAGAATATCCCATAGGACTGCCACCAGAGAGACCCCCTTCATGTTAGCTTTTGGAATCGAAGCTACCATTCCCATTGAAATAAGATTACCTAGCCAAATAAGACTTAATCTAGAAGAAGCAGGGCACACCACTGAACATCTCGACCTCTTGGAAGAAATTCGCGACCAGGCAGCCTTAAGAATAACCTCTTACCGAGATAAAACAACAAAGTATTTCAATAGAAGGGTGAGGCTGCGAAGATTCAAAGCTGGAGATTTTGTGTTGAGAAAGGCTGAAGCCGCTGGTCATGCTCTAGGAAAACTTGGACCAGTTTGGGAAGGACCTTTTGAAGTCATACGACAGCTCCCAGAAGGTGCATACAGTTTGAGGGACACGTCGGGAAGCCCACTCCCAAGGCCGTGGAACGCCAGTAACTTAGTATATAACAAGTAACTCGCTCCACCATATTTTAGAAATAAGGCCTACATGTCAAGTCAATTTTTTTCTTTCAATAAGGCCTTCATGCCAAGTTTGTTTTTCGGCCTACGTGCCAAGTCAATTTTTTTCAATAAGGCCTGAGTGCCAAGACAATTAATAGAATATTTAAAGTTAAATTCGATGATCTACAAATCAAAGTCTTGCCCCGCTTAAACAACTCAAGCCTTTCCCCGAGCAAGCAAATCAAAGTCTTGCCCCGCGCAAGCAAATCAAAGCCTTGTCCCGCGCAAGCAACTAAATTTAGCATTATCCCGCACAAGCAACTTAAGCCTTGCCCCGACAAGCAACCCAAAGCCTCGCCCCGAGCAAGCAAGCACTCAAAGCCTTGCCCGAGCAAGCACATATGACATACCAATCCCAAGAAATGTAAATACCCGAGCACTATGGGGTATCCTGATCACTCAAAGCAAAAACCTCGTTAACAACCATACATGTGCTCGAGCTTATTTATTTTGATCGAGAATCACAAGCTCACAGGTTGAGACTTCGAGAGACCTCAGGAACATGTAAACGAGATCAATCATCAAAGGCAACGTATTGCTCGAGCTTAATTACACAGAGCATGCGATCTATACGAACCCAAGGCCTTAATCGAGCTTGTTACTGGTTCTTCAATTTAGGTTACCTAATTTAATGATCGAGGTACAATGATTACAATTATCATTTCTTACAATTTAGTCCTTGAGATAATGTTCCATATCTTACCCTCAGATCAGCTATTACCTTCGCCTAAAACTTCATATGGATTCTCTTAAAGTCAAGCTAGGTCACATCATTTAGTTTAGTCCTCAAACGAACTTAAAGCTCGAGCAAAACAAAATCAAAATAACATAATAAGAGAGCAAGTTAAGCTCAACAAGAATACACTGAATTCAGGCAAAAATAATCATTCACTACAAGTAAAGAGCCAAAAGTATTCAAAAACAAAAAGAAAACAGAAACTAGTCTATGTCCTCGGCTCCTTCTCTCGAGGTCGGGCTTCCTTGCTCTTCCCCCACATCCTCGCCGTCAATATCGACCTCTTGGTCATCAGTGGCTCCCTCGGGCTCCGAAAGCTCGAGGTCTTCAGCAACCTCTGGGATGTTCTTCAAATCCTCGAGCTTTGCATCAGGCTTGCAAAAATGCCCGAGCCTCTTTTAAAGCATGGAAGTACGAGCCCATGGCGTACTCTCCTTTTAGCCCACTGAATTCCTCAAATGTTTTGAAGTCCTCAATAGTGATACCCCGAGCTTCAGTCAGACAAGCTTCGAAATCCTTCTTCAAACACTCTATCTCAAGCTTTAACTCCTCGACCTCGTCCTTGGCCATCTTAGCTTCTTCCCGAGCCTTCCGTAGGTCATTCTTGGCTTCATCACGTTCCTTCTGAAGAAGGAAGCGCTCAACCTCCATATCAATAATTCTTTTCTCACGTGCCCAAGCAGAACTCTTGAGCTCAGCAGTTTTTTAGGCCTCATCTTTTCCCTTCAGAGAAAGACCTCAGGTAATACTCAATGTCTGCAACATATAAAATCCAAGCTTAACGATCAAGCCATAGAAATCCTTAAATTACACAAAGTAAAATGAGCCAGCTTACCTTCAACGTAAGGGATTCAAGAGCTTTCGTGCCCTCATCGAAGCCGAGGTCCTTTCGATACTTGTCCACGATGCTCGACACCAGAGGATACCAATCGGGATCTCAATTTTGAAAAGAGGGCACAGGAAGGACCTCATCCTCGAGGTCAACAACCTCGAGAGTACTCCTCGACCGAGGACGTGACCGAGGAGTGGCAATCGAAGTTTCGTGCTCATGAATGGTCGGGGATTGTCCTCGGGTAGATGGCTCGCCCAGACCACTCCTAACAGTCCCAGGCCCTGAATCTCAAGGCCTCTTTTTTTCCTTTTTCTGACCTGGGGCTCGAACTTGAGGGCCCTCGACTTCTTGTTCACGGCCTATCGAAGAGCTGAAGGGTCGAAAGTCATCCCTGAAAAGACAAGTCATTAGCTTGAGCATAATTCTCAAAGACAGATCGATGAGGAAAAAAGGTGAAAGTACGATCCCTACCCTCGGCACATTTCACGTCTGCAAGATCAAGAATATCATCCCTGAAAATGTCATCTATATCATAAACAAGAGGCTCGAGGTTCTCTAACATCACCCTATCCCTTTCTAAAGACTCGAAATAGGCCTGCCCTTCACAAAACCTGGCCGTGTCGAGCAAAACCCACCTAGGACCAAAAGGAAAGTCAGAATCCTGAGGTATGACATGAAACCACTTTTCTTTCCAGAATCCCGAGGTACGACATAAAGTCAGAATCCTCCTCGAGATGAAAGATGGGCAAAACATGTATATTGAGGCAGCTGTTTCAAATCGAAGACCATTCTACAAAGGTCGATGTATGGGTTAATACCTAGGTACTACAGGCTATAAAAAAGTAGGTAAGCATCCTCCATCCATTTGGCACGAGCTGACTAGGGTTCATGTTGTGCTCAACCAGTAAAGCCACAAAGAAGGGGTGCAAGGGCCATCTAAATCCACCCTTTAGCGAGTCTCTAAAAACTAAAAACTCTCCATTCCGAGCAATAGTCATCCTATCCTCACCCCCTAGCGTCCTAATATCACACTTAGGTATGAGCCCATGCTCCCTAGCCGTCAATATCGCTAGATGCTCCTTAAATTTACAAGAGAGGTCAGGGTACCTAAGGGGAGTCGGGATACCTTGTGCCCAAGGATGTGCATTAATGGGCACAGCCATGGGTATGATCGAGCGCTCCCTGTCCTCGGGGGTATTTCTCGAGGAAGAGGACGAAGACTCACTGCTACTACTAGACATCCTGACCTAGGCAAAAAAGTGTCTAAAGAATAACTTAAGGTCTCGAGGTCTTACCTTAAAGTCGACGCCTAAAAACCCACCAAAGTTATGATCCCGACGATTAGCTAGAGAAGTTTACTGAGAGTGAAAAGTGAAAAATGAAGTGAACAAGGTATTTATAGGCAACAGAAGATGGTAGTCCCAAAGTCACTACCCCGATCGTCAGATCTGGCCACGTGTCCTACATTTGTCCCATATCGCTTTTTACCGCCTTTTCTTATTTAGGGCTTACCTCAGTACCACGTCAGCCCTTCTGAACACCTGTCTTCAAAAACTCCCTCTAGCTTACGTACCCGAGCTCTCTGTCTTCTGGCTTTTGCACCATATCCTCGAGAATAGGTACACGGGGCCAGTGATAGTGACATTCCCTGCGTATCCCAACCACTTTCATCCCGACCATTTGTGAGGGCATTTCTTACGATTTTCGATCATTAGTGCTCGGGATTCATTGGGTCCTCGGGATATCCTATGCTCGACCTTGTTAATTTTCATAGGATGCAGGATTTCCTCGAGAATAATACCTCGGGAAAATCCCTTGAGGCCCTCAACTACCATCTTCCTCGTATTAAGGAGAATGTCTATCCCCTAAGAACTCTTATCTGACACGAATACTTCAAACCACATCTCCTAAGTCCAAGAAAGTCGTCTTAACAATTGGTCTTCTAATGACAGTAGGATCCAAACACTGCTTTCTCATAAGACTCTATCGGATAAGGATACCCAAATAGTTGAATCCTACCAGGAAAGCACCATACACCTCTATAAATACAAAACCTTGAGTCATTATCCAGGTATGTTCTCATTATTTTCAATTTATAGCCTCACCACGCACATAATTGCCTTTCCGAATTAAGCATCGGAGTGACGACGAGAACATACCTCGTTACCTTTATTTCAGGTACCGAAAGACTACGATCGTGCTTATCTAAAATTCTCAAGTTCGAAAAATCAACAGGTACAATTTTTAGTAGTATCAATACTGAAGAAAGAAAAAAAGGTTTCTTGAAATAATCAACAAAGTTAAGATCAAATAGCCCTAAAATTGAAGAAGATGAAATTCAAAATAAACCAGAAGAAAAGGAAAGAGGCAACTCGAAATTATAGAAGGCTTGAATATGTTAGGTATGCTGTCCTAAGATAGTAGTTGCTTGCTTTCTTCCTTAAGATTGCTTATCGATATGATCAGCAAATATTTTCGAGAATTAAACAAGCCTTTTTAGATATTATACACCAACCACGAGTGAACAACTCTTAGAATAAAGAGATCTTTAGGAAAATCTAAATTTGATTTCAAATTTGGAAGCATTTTGATTCACGTGATAATTATAGGATTAAACTAGTGGAACATGCTCAATGACAGGGCCATTTTCCAAGTGCCTTAACGGCGGATTTTGATTGTAGGCTCTTCTTCTTCTTCTTTTTTTAACTGCCAATAAAATTTTGACAAGTGTTTTCTCCATCGAAATCCATCTCTCTGTATCTCTCAAATATATAAATAAACTATTCAAACATGGATACCTTTTGACAAGCCATCTCAATTCCTTGAGAGATTGCACACAAGGCAAGGCCCAAAAGGGTCTAAATTCTCTTAAGATTGCGAGAGGTTGCACGTGACTTAGTAGGCACACAAATAGTCTCGAAGTCTCACATGAAATTGCTAAGTCTTGAGTGATGCCGTCCAAGGTAAACATGTCTTGGACCTTCTCTTGCTTCTTATCTTAATTTCATTCATTCTTGAATGTCTATTTCAAGTTGACCTTTTACTTTCATCCATTATTGTATCAGTTTCAATGTTAAACTTAGGGTGTGTATGATTATTTTTCACCTAAATTTCAACTTCTAGAGTGTGCTTACCATTTTTTTCCATGAATAATATTTTTCAAACTTTGAAAATATGCTTAGTTTTTCTTATTTTTGAGAAAAACATTTTATTTGGGGAATGTAGGGTTTTGCTTTATTCAAAACAAGAAAAATATCTTCATTTTCATTTCAGAAGACTTTTTTCATTTCAATTAAACACACCCTTACTCTCATTCTTGAATCATCTAGATGTTTGGTCATCCACGATTTGATACTGGCCTCTACCCTGTAAAACCCACTGTGGGCCTTTATAGTACGTTAGCCCAATCGTGCTCCACAAGTTGAGCCTTTTCTTTGGAGCAGCCCATCAGAAATTTGTTGAACAGAAAGAGACTGAATATCTAACCGCTAAATAGCAAGATAGTGGACAGGTGGCTTGATCATATTGTTCAGGGGTAAACTTTTTACCAAATTCACCGAGTGGAGTGGGTTGGTAAATTCGGTGCAGTGCGTTGCCAATGAAACTAACGTGAGGCGGTTGCAAATTTCTCTCACGAGGGCCAACAAGTGCAACAACCACGTCATCTGTAACAAAAGTTGAGGGTGTTTTAGGAAATTCATTTCAAACAAACTCCCCAAAAAATGTTTCTTCCAGGAGATACGTGTCACCTTCTGGCTGTAATTGGACCCTGACATCCCAATTACTTGACACGTACATCTCAGTAGGATTAGATAGAGTTTTCCACGTCATATGCCAGCGAGGCATTCTCAGTCCTAATCAGCAATCCATATTCGGAATAATTCCCTTCAACAGGCTCAGGGATAAGGGATATGCCAAAAGCAGGGCATGAATTATTGGGTTTTATGTTTTCATTTTTCAAACTTTTCAATCTCGAATTGACACATATCGGACCTGTTTTTGAATCTGTTCCTGACAAGTCCTTTTTGAAGTCCACCGCCTGGTCTTTTCATACCAAAAGCTCTTCTTCTACTTTCCTCTCTCACTTCCAAACGAAGAGTTAGCGGGTATTTTTTCTGGAACTCTGGAAATTTCGGTTCCCGGAAATGGACATACCGACCATCGTCGATCATTTTCTGATCTCTGGTGTGGTGACGTGATATTACATTTGCAAGGCGTCTAATTTGTGTTTTAGCGGTATTTGTAAACCATAAGTAAAAGCGAAGATTTTTAATTTTAGTTTGCATAGTTCTGAAGTTATTCTATACTTTGTCTTGCAAATTCTTTCAAGCAAGTGATTATTATAATCATCAAGATAATCCGCGTGATATAGGTATCAGTTTTTGCTCCAAGCCTCTCAAATTTCGGAGATCGGTTAGTTTTTACCCAAATTTTTCATTCCCGAAGCTGATCAGAAAGTATTTAAGGAAAAATAGGAGGAGTAGATTTTAGAATTTGAAGTCTTCATCTTTGGCTGATCATTGATGCCCCAAAAAACTATGTGCTGTGGAAAATGGTTTTCGAAAACTGAAAGCTCGAGATAATTCCAAAAGAATAGCGTTTTCAAATTTTGATCATCAGAAATGCCTTTCCCTATGAAAATTCAACCAGTTGATTTCAACGTCCAAACTGAACCAACTGTATTTGAGCCGGTGAAGCCAGTGACAAAATCGAGATTCAAGAGGCTTTTCGAGAGGCAATTTTCCAGCGTTCTGAGAATATCAACGCAGGAAAAGGCGGCCGGCAACGGAGGCGCTGATGAGCCTCATCACTGTAACAAGGATGGTCCTGAAGAATTCGATCCGAGCTCTGTTTGCCTTGCGAAAATGGTTCAGAATTTCATTGAGGATAACAACGAGAAACCCCACAGGTGTAGCCGTAACAGATGCAATTGCTTTAATAAAAACTGCACGGACAGCACCGAGGAGGAACTTGACTCATTCAATTGCTTTGGCGATTCTACCTATTCTCCTTCATCTGATGCACTTGATCTTGTCAAGGTAGATAAATGAATTTTAGATATTTTTGTTATATTTTTCAAGCTGATAATAGTTTATCTGAAAAATATTCCATTGAATACACAGAGTTTGGTACCTTGTGTGTGTGTTTTTGAGAGAAATCTGTTAGCAGACACTGCAAGAATTGTTGAGAAAAACAAGATCAGTAAGCGAAAAGACGATTTTTGTAGAACAATTGTAACTGACAATCTTATCTCTCTTGGATACAATGCTTCAATTTGCAAATCTCGCTGGGAAAAATCCCCCTCTTTTCCCTCAGGTAATTCTCTCCATCTATCTGCTACACAATTTGTTCTGTTTCCTTCTGGGAAAAATCCCTCTTTTTGTTTATTTTTTGCACAATATGATAAATTTTGTCCCCTTCTTTTTTCTTTTTTTTTTCCCCAATTTTTAACAGGGGAATATGAATATGTTGATGTGATGATCGAAGGGGAGAGGTTTATAATTGACATTGATTTTCCATCAGAATTTGAAATTGCTAGATCCACCAAAGCATACAAATCGATTCTCCAAACACTACCTAACATATTTGTAGGTAAAATTGATCGCCTTGAGAAGATTATTGACATTGTATCAGATGCAGCCAAAGAGAGCTTGAAGAAGAAGGGTATGCCATTTCCTCCATGGCGCAAGGCCGATTATGTTAAGGCCAAATGGCTTTCTCCTTACACCCGAACTACTTCGGGTGCAACTGATGAGGAAGTAAAGGATCTGATTACAGCAAAAACAAGTTCTTGTGTCGAATTTGAGTTGATTTTTGGGGAAAAATGTTCGCCAAACGATACTAACGACAATGGAAATGACACCGTTTTTACTATCTCTAACAGTACATCTTCAGACAAGAGCACGACTCCATTGACGAAGCCATTGGAAATTAGGCCGAGGAGTTTGCAGAAAGGAGTGAAGATGGTTACCGGTTTAGCTTCTGTAATTGAAGATAAACCATTAAAGTTTTGGTTTTTTTGAGTTTTGCTTATGCTTTGAGGGTACAATACTCTGGTAAGCTAATCATTCCCTTCTCCTTTTATTGTAAGGGTGTTGAACTGCTGCTATTACTACTAAATATGATCAATAATGATGATCAAGTAAAGAAAAGCTTTATAAAATTTTGGTATCAGATTTTGCTTTGTGATGATTTATTTGATCTTTAATTATCATATTGTTCTCTAATGAACCCAAGATTTGTGTATTCATCATTCCTTGTCCATTCAATGACCCCCAAAACGCAGGAAAAAATGAATTATAAACAATATGTATAAATTGCAAGTTGCTTCTTGTCCTATTTTTTGGAAGTGATGTCACTTGTACAATCATTTCTTGCAATATTGATTGACAACATACTTGTCAATATCGCATTCATCGATTACAAAAATTGTTTTTAAAATTAATGGATCAAAATTTGACAACCTCAATGTTGTCATCCATTATTGTAAACAATGTACATGTAGATTAATTTATTTTCTGGATGCATGGTCGGGAACAAATTGAATTTTAAAAAATCTGCATCAAACTTAGCCAGTTGCACTTGAAGATACTCTGTCAGTTTAATAATAATTTGTTATATAACAAAAATGTGTAACAAAAATTAAGACAAATACCCTTAACAGAATTTTGTGCAAAGTGGAAGAGATGAGCAAAAAGTATTTAACCATTATTTGGTGACACTATTTATTAGTACCATTTTGCATCAAAATGGTGCAATTGGGTTGAAAGAGATTTGCACCAAAAATTTTAGTTATAAATATTTTTTTCATATAAATAGACGTGATATTTCGATTCACACAAGTCATCATTCAATTCTTTTAAATTTACTAATAAATCATTTTTCAGTTCGAAATTCACTTCTTTTCTTTTATAATTATTCTATTAATATTTGAGTTTATAATGATTTAAGTTTAAAATCAAGAACATTTAACCACTGAGTAAATTCGAGATCTAATAACAATATCACTTAAAATTACATGTCCTATTTTTTTATGGATAATGAATAAAAATTAATTTTGATTAAAATAAATATAAATTTAAAAAAGTTAGAAATCTAGGGCAATCCCCACAAAGGACCATCCGTTTGACCCATTAAATTATATTTTATTTTTTTCTCTCATTTTCTCAATCACAAAATATTTTCATAAAATAATATTATACGTTAATAGAAAACTTTCCCTACTTTTCAACAATTCATTCACCAAAAAATATTATTTCACCCATTATAATTTAAAATAATGGGGGCATAAAGGTGTTGAAGTTATAAAGCCAATATTTTAATTATTTGGAAAATGAGAATTCTTAGAGCCTGTTGGTTTGAGCCCTATTTTTTTTGTTCAAAATGTGTTTTGGATAGTATTTCAATGAAAATGTGTAGTTAAAGAATAAAAAAAAATTTAAATTTATGTAAAATATTATTTTATTAAAAATACAAGAGAAAAATATATTTTAAAAATAATAAAAGCCCAATAAGGGCTTAATGTAGCAAAAAATAATTTACAAAATATAAAATGGAAAATTACTTAAAAACTTGGGTTTAAAAAACAGTTTTCATAATTAAGAGGGATTAAGTTTAATTTCATCAGATATAATTAGAAATTTTTAAATAAATATATTCCTAAGAAAGACGTGTCAGTTTGATCCCCCTTTTCACAGAGTATTGCCTAGTTTAGAGTGCTCACCTATCAGACATATTTTGTTCTGTTATCTCGTCGGAAAATGTTGTTGTCTACCTTGAGACCAGCTTCCTGTCGACTTCCTCCGGTGACCTGCAGAATTCGGTCCCAATCAAAAGTGTTAAAAGTCAAAATGGTGAAAAGGCCTGCTCTTCCTTCTCTTCAGGTTCTGCAATTCGAACCTCTGTTTCTAAATTTATTCTTCTCTTCATTTTGATTAATAATAGAAAAATTCTATGCTATACAAATGAAAATAAATTAAGAAAATAAACAAATCAATCAGAAATTTCAATTAGATTTTGTTGAGTTGATCAATTCTTCAAAGATCAGAAATCGATCTAAGGGGGAAGGGATTCTCCGGATGCATTTGTGGGCATGTCAGAGAGACAACAAGGGCAATAATTGTTACGCCTCAATTTATGAGCCTCGGAACCACTCCGACCCCCCGAAGCCTCTTCGAAGTGATACACCGATTCCTGCCACTGATCTGCCGAAGTGTCCCGTCTCCGAGGTCGGGTTCAAGTGGCTTGAACCCCCGTTAGAAGATTCGCTGCCAATTTAAGATTTGCTCTGCATATAAGGTTTAAATTGATGTGACGTCCCCCATAAAGCTATTTGATGTGACTTATCAACTTTATGTCAATTCAACTCGGGGGAAACAAACTGTCCGCCCACTCTACAAGCGCGGCTGATTGACGCCTATGAGCAGACGCTTCATACCGTCAGATGTATACACATGTTCCACATCCCACGGTTCATACCACCTATAAATACCCAAAGATTGGCCAGAGGCAAAGGTAATGAAACTCTCAATAGATAGCACTCCATAACAAGTTTATATATTCTCCTCCCCCTTTATTGACTGATTGATTTGTGTAGTCCCTGGACACTGTTCCGACCACCCAAACCTGACTTGACCGTCGGAGTGTATACGGCCGTCACCACCGTTGGTTCCGGCCGTGTGCGCCTGACAGTTTGTTCATTTCGTAGGGAGGAATACGTGGAGTAGCTACAAGTTGGCCACGTGGAAGAGCCATTTTTAGAGGTCAACAGTTTGGCGCCGTCTGTGGGAAGCGTCATTCCCCATTCAAAGTCCTACATTCCCCGTCGGGGGAGCCACCGGAAAACCGGCGACTGACCCTGAAAAGGGCGGCATTCTTGAAAAAGAATAAAAGTCAAGTTACAATCCAAGTTCTTACTATCCTTGAAAGAAGAGGGAGGATGAGCTACAGCCGTGAAGACAACCCCATCAGAGAGGCCTCTGAAGAGGAAGTACTTCATAACAATGTTACTCATCAGAGACCGCATCACCGGCGTCGGCGAGGTGAAAGAACAGCCGCACTCACCGAAGGAATGGCCCAGATAGCTGCAGGCATGAGAGACATAGCAGCTCAGAATATGGCGATGCGGGAACTTCTCATGCAAGCTCAGGGACACCAGATGCCCCAAGGATCGTATCCGGTACGGGAAATCCCTTTGTCTCATTCTCGAGGCCATATGAGCCGGCACACCGAACGTCCTCTCGAAAGAGAGGATAACACCGAAGCAACATCTTATATGCAGGAGAGCCACCCATCAGAACTACTCTTGGGGGACAACTTTCCACAAGGACATGATCAGAGGTCAGTAAGCGTCTTCGACCGGATAGGGAACGATCCTAGCAATAGGATCCGCCCTTCAAGAG